ACGACAACAAAAATTTCGACTACTACCGTGAAAGCACCATCCAAAGTCTCTTACCTTACTCACTAGAAGAGCGCGCAAGCTACCGTAAGCAAATAGTAGAACAGAGCGAGGAGATCTCCAAGCTGCGCCTCGAAAAGGAGTATTTGAAAAAACAGAGCGGCGAGGTGTGCGCCGCGAGCCAGGAACTCGGCAAGCTGCTCGATCCTCCTAGTTTTAATTCTGGCATGCTACCGCCAACGGCGGTGATAGGTAACTTAGAACGCGAGCTGCACTATGCAAAACAGCTGCTCACGAAGATGGGCCGCGCGCGCTACTTCAACGAGCACGAAAACCTTGTGTACAAGGTGGAGAAATTTGTAGACGGGAAATTCACGCACCGAAGCCACTTCGGCACGCCGCCCTTGCAAACCACTTTCAACACCTTCGGTAAACCACACTAAGCTACAAGTGCGATGCTAAGTTTCTTCTTAGAAAGACAAGTGACTCTGTTACAACACGAAATACGCAAAATACTAATACTACGTAGCTTTCTTTTTCTTTTCCAAAACAGCACTCCGGTTCCGCCGCAGCGAACTATGGGGGCGAGCCGACGAGTGCGGACTTATCCTCCCACAACTAAACCACGACTAGCAGAGAAGAAAACTAGGAACCGCTGCAACCTCGCGAGCCGCAAAGTGCAGTACTCCGACACGTGCTGGGTGCTGGGCAATTTGATCGAAAGCGCCAGTGTCGGAACCGATTGGACTTCAAGTGACGAATTGTGCTACGCGCTCGAGGAAATCGCACTTCGCGAGAAGCGGAGCGCGTCAACAATTTTCCGAGCGACACGCAGGGGCCCGGACACAGAAATTTCAACGTCGCTTCGGCAATTTTCAAATCCGATCCGTGGTGCATTGCAAAGACCAAAAACTACTGAGTGGCAGTTGTTACAATCAGCGACGGATTTGAAAATTATCTTGAAGCTTTCTCGTGAGCCGGTCCTACTGCAAATAGCACGCGCAGGACCGAACCCGGCGCCACTAAAACAAGTCTACTTCGCATTCGAAATCGAGACGATCACGAGGAAAGCAGCCCTGCAAATAGTCGCAAGCTTGTGCGTGGCGGTACGCGCGGCCGAGGCGCAGGATGTAAAAGAAGTTTTCTTCCTCCGTCCGTGAAGTCGAACAGCAAGTAAGCGACGCGATCCTGTATCCGGGGCACAATCAGCCCCCGCTCGAAGCCTGGCTGCAGAAATCTCCGATCTTCTTCCGCCACTACTGCAAACTCCCGCTCTTCTTCGACGCCGATGTCAAGCGAAGCCGAAATCTTCAAGATCGAACCAGGATTCGCATGTCACGCGCAAACCCCTGGCACACAGCAAACCACACAAGACTCCGGGTCCCGGTCAACTACGCAGCGGCAAATCCCGCAACCGCTGCTGCCAGCTGGGTCAGCAAGTCAGCAGGGACAACCCGGAGCGGTGCCTGTGCACCAAAGCGGAAAAATGCCAGGAAATCCAGTCGACGTCGAGTACATGAAGATGTGGTATCCCGAAACGGCTGGAAAAATTGAGAAGGAGTTGGACGACAAGCAGGCACAAATCGCGAAATTGCAAGAGCAAGTCGAGTTGTACAGGCAGACGTCGCAGAAATTGACCCAGGCGCTGCATTCGATGGCAAACCGGCAAACTCGAATGCAAACGCACGGGAAGATGCTGCAGCAAGAAATGCTGCAACTGTTTTATGACGACAAGATTACTAAAGACGATTGCCAAGCTAATCCTTTGCTTCTCGACTGCTTATACAGCCAAATCTGGTATGAGTACTCTGATTACAGCACTCAAATTTTAAAAAAATTTCACATATTCTTTTCAAGTAGTGAAAAATTTTTTTCTTCAAGCGGGGGGATGGATGTAGCGACGGGTGTCCATAGAAACCGTCTGCGCACCATTCTCACCGTGTTCGAAGCGCAAAATAGCATTACAGATTTGCGAGGACAACGCGAAAAGATCTTTTCTCCGCAGCAACAAACTCCACTCAACAATGAAAAATGAAGTAGATCACGAAATTCCTCTTGTGTGCGAAAAAATGAAGCAGCAGTTTTCCAACACTAGAAATTGTAATCTGGACTTCATTGCACGCGAAATTGACGAGGCAAAAACAATGACGATGAATTTGTGTTCCTTTCAGAAACCATTTCGAACCCAAAAACAGTTAGGAACTTTGAGACTACGACGTGCCGCAAACTGCACTGTGCACGCCTGTAAATCTTGAAGCGACGACATCTATGATAAGAACTGGAAGGGAAAAATACAATTGAGAACTCTTGTTCTCCGTGAATTCATCTTCACGAGAAATTTGCATTCTGTGTTCCACTAAGCACTTTTGCTACAGGTCTTTAATATTCGCAAAGGAGAACATGAACAAGAGCACGAATAAATTGAGGCTCATGGAGATCTCCCCACCGGGCGATCATCCAATCGGGAAGCAAAAATGATCAGGATGAAATTTGACAAATTTTAAAGATCGCTATTAAGTACTTACTTTTGTCGGTTGCTCTACCGCGGACAGAGTGCAGCATCAAATGCGACGTAATTTTTGCTGCACTTCTTTGCCTGCCAAATCTTCCTTTCGACTCGGGCAAGGATTCGGCCGTGGCGGATGATAGAAGACATACTCACCAGAAGGAAATTGTAGCAGATACTTCGCGAATTTAAGCAGATCCAAAAGTTGCCGCTTTCTAGCAGGTCCAGGGGGCACTCCCCGTGACGTCCTGGCTGCATGCTGGAGATGAAGCTTACCGCTGAATCCGCTTGCGCGAGGGTTACGCACTCGCTTGGGCCGATAGGGCTATTAGAGAGGGCGACTGAGAAGGGCGGTCGGCCCCTCCAGCCAACAAAATTCGGTATTGCTGCCCCCGTTGCCCTCTGACCTGCTTCTAGTATTTTTGCTGGAGCAGGCGCATTCTTTAGCCTCACCATGATGGTGCTCCATCTTCATTTTTGCGCTATGCAGCCTCACCTCGTGCGCCTGCGTTGCCTTGCCCCTGTTTTACGATGTGGCGTCGCGTTTTCAGTCTTTACGGCACATTTTTACGCCGCGACGTTTTTACTCGCGCGCGCCAAAGGTTTCGGCGCAGGGGTGTTGCGCGTTTCATAGGGTGGCCGGGAATAAAAAAAAAGAAGTCGACCCCTCCGCGCGGAGGGGTCGACTTCTTATTTTCGGAACGGCGCGCGCAGCGCGCCGAAAAATTTTTCGACTCGGGCACGGATTCGGCCGTGGCGGATGATAGAAGACATAAACATACTATCACAGGGAAAAGTGTAGACGTAGACGGTTTTAAGAAAATGCAGCAAAAAAATTTTGTGAGCACCCTAGAGCATATTACGAATGCCATAAAAACACGTGCTCACATGGCTAGCTATTGCGGGACTCCTTTGTAGCTGAATTCATTTACGCTAGCTAGTGCAAAAGGTCTGGGCGCCGTCCTGCCGATCCATCAAGTGCCGTTCGAGGAGACCCGTCTGGACAGCCACTGTTCCTGGCCCGCGGTCGTAACGCCTCAGAAACAGGTCGGCTGGGTGGAGTCTGCAACTTTCCGGCTGGGAGTCAGGCAATTCTCCGGCGGGAACGTCAGCAGGGTCTCCCTGCGAGAGGGCTGGGCCGCCGCAAATAAGGCGCTAACCCAGGTGGCGGAGGCGAAGCTGATTGACAGCGAAGAGATGCGCCTGCTCACGGGTCGCGAAACCCTCGCAGAAGCCCTGGCGAGCTGTGTTGATTGTCTCTAGGGAATACGTCTGCTGTTCAAATTTTGCGACTTATCTGCTCACCATTTTGAACAAAAAAGCCGGAGTTCGGAAATTCGCGAGAGATTGGAAATTTTGCCTGCCTCCAAGGCCAAATTTCCAAGGTACCCCAAAAACCGTCTACATCGACTCTAGACTGCATGGCATGGTCCATGTAGACGGTCAAAAAGTGGCCCTGACCAACAAAAAACCCCAGAAAAACCGTCTACATCGCATCTAGACTGCGCGCTATGGTCGATTCAGGGGCTCCAAAAGGGTCACCAATCCCGGGACCCCGTTTTGGAAGGGCTGCGTCGACCATAGCAGGCAGTCTAGATGTTTTGCCAAATCTTCCTAGATGTAGATTCAAATGTTTTGCCAAATCTTCCTTTCGCGGGCAAGGATTCGGCCGTGGCGGATGATAGAAGACAAAAACATACAAGATTCCTCGTCCTGGATGTACTTCGAGTAAGGAATGTATAAATCAAACGCGAGATCCACCTGATCCCTCAGTCGACTTTCGAGAGTTCTGCTCGCTCGGGGTAGTTGAAGGTCAATACAATACAACGGGGAGGAAGTTGGACAACTAAAATGTTGCGTAACAAAAAACACAAACCTTCGGCACAGACACAGGACAAAATTTTGCTTTGTGTTACTTTCAAGCTATTTCTTTGCGAGACACCTACTGATCGGTCTACGAACTGCAAAAGGGTATAGCGAATTCATCTTCTGAAGCTGTAATTGCTCATTATAAAAAGACAAACGCCGCCTGTGTCAAGACGCTCTTCTTGACTTCTTCTTTCCCAAGCATTTCACTACTCATACAATTGTACTTTATCTGCTGCTGAGTCGTTGTTTTTTTCGTTGAATTACTTTCAGAAAACATAAACATCATCATGGTCTCCGTGGTCTTTCGTCGCGTGCTTGCCGCTGCCGGCAGCATGTCCGTCTACTTGCACGGAGAAGCGGTTCTGAAAGGGTTGCTGGGAGGTGGACATCGAGCCACTTTCTCGGAAATAACCAGTCTTCGGACCATGAGCAACGTGTTGAATGTTGGCCAGCACTTTGACGTTCATCCGGGCCTTGTGGTTGCCGTCCAGTTGCGGTCCCGGCCGGGAAGCAGCGGCGATGGGAAGAACTGGAATGGTAAAAAGCAGTCGAAAGGAAAGGGGCGGGGTCGGGGGCGAGGGGACGACGGCGGCAAGGGTGGTGGAAAAGGAAAGGTGGAGAGCTGCAACGTATTACAATGAAAAACGATCGTCCCACGACGACCCCAGACGTTTCAGATATTTGTGTATGCATATTAAGGTTTTCAAATGCAAAACTCTTTACTTATCAATCTATGCATGCTTGGATCGGAAGACTGCCCCTGCTACTGCTTTCGATTGTTCTAAGTGTGCAAAGCAGCTCTTACACTACAAGCCCTCCTTGTGCTGGGCCTTTTTGCAAGACAAATTTTTGCTATCCTGGGTTGAACATTTATCGTCATGCAAATGAAAGGTCGCAAATGTTTCCATTGGTAACTTTGCAATACAAACGCTTCCACATTCTGGCGTTGGGGCACTTTTCGTTGTAATACAACGGAGATCCTAAGAAAGACCCGTGCCACGAGCGCTATATTTCGAAGCTACAGACTTACGCAAACACAGGCAATATTGAGGGCGCAGAAGCTGTTTTCAAGCTCATCCAACGAGACGCACACCTGTGCTTTACTGCCATCCACTACGACATGCTGATCAGCGCCTACGCCAAAAGGGGCCTTGTTTGGGGCGCAATAAATGTTATTCAGAGGATGCGCCAAGAAGAAAACATGGCGCCGACTGTCGTCACCTACAAGTCTTTGCTGACCTGCTACGCCAATGCGGGCAAACTGGAACGGAACTCAGACAGCACGCCAGAGGCTGTTCTGTCTGAGATGATGGAGTGCGACGGGGTGGCGCCGCATGTCGTCCTGAGGACGCTTCTGAATGCCTACGCTGAGAGAGGCAACGGCCCGGGCGCAGACCGTGTTTTCCGAATAATGAAAGACGCACCAGGCCCGGCGCCGGATGTCGTCACCTACAACATCCTTATCAAAGCCCACGTTCGGAATCGCGACGTTGATAGCGCATACGGCGTGCTTCAAATCATGAGAGACGCACGCGCGGCGCCGGACGTCCGCACCTACACCGCGCTAGTGGATGCCTGCGCTAGGAGTGGCAACGTTCGGGGCGCATACGAGTTGTTTCAAATGATGCAAGACGAAGGCGTGGCGCCAAATGTCGTCACCTACAACGTTCTCATAGCAGCCCACGCTCGGAAACGCGACGAACGGGGTCGTGCATGGGATGTGTTTCAAATGATGACAGACGCAGGCGTATCACGAGAAAAAAGTGTTACAGTAACACATTTGTTGGAGTTTCTGCATCACAAATTTTCTCTGCGTGGCAGAGAAAACTTGTAATGCGAAGATCATAAGGGAACACAGGAAGGAAACGAGGCTCCCAAGCATTTCCTGCATGAGAGAGGTTGTCTGTGTTGCCGGTCTTGCAACACAATGTGTAACTGTAACACTTTTTTCTTGCGATAAGGCGTGGCGCCGAATGTCGTCACCTACACCTCGCTTATCCTGCGCAAAAGTATCGTAGTCGTACTAATTGCAAATATGCATGACAAATCTCCTTCCTAAGGTAAAACAGCATTACAAATTCCACTTTTCTTCTTGCCAAAATTTGTGATGCAATTTATACTAGTACGATACTTTTGCAATGCATATCGCTAGTGGATGCCTGCGCTAAGAGTGGCAACGTTCGGGGCGCATACGATGTGTTTCAAATGATGCAAGACGAAGGCGTGGCGCCGAATCTCTTCACCTACACCGCGCTGCTGGGTGCGCACATGGACGCGGCCGCCGCGGAAAACGACAAGAAAATCCGTGGCGACATTATCCGGGATATTCTACTTAAAAACGTACTTACCCACCCCATAGTCAAGATCGGGAATCGGCTAGACAAATCCACAAGCTTTGGCTGTTTCGCATGACAAATTTGGACGCGTAGTGCTGTTTGAGCTAGTTCAGCAGCATTACAGATCTAATCTCTCATGCTGATTGGAGCATGACAAATTTCAAAACACCATTAGAAAATGCTTCTCGTGGGGCTCCGCATGAGAAACATTTTAAGCATGCAGATTTGCATGACAACTATGGCGTGGGGACGTTTTTACACAGGATACGGGACGGCATTGGCCAGCTGCTGGACTTGATGCTAAGAGCCGAAAATTGGAGGCCTAACGATGCTTATGAAATGCGAATATGTCATCTGGGTCTGGAAGGTTCTTGCAACTTGTGATGCTAAATCTGAATCACGCAAAAAATCTGTGTTGCATGTTTACCTACAGCCGTCCTTTTTTACCAAGTTGAGAGGGAATTTCTCATGCAGGATAGGCATGATCGAGATCTCACAGAATTTGTCATCCTAGGTGCTGCATTCCAGACCTCATGGGTCATGGAAAACCTACATGACAAATCTGGCATCCTTCCAGACCCAGACATATTTGCACTGGATATTGCTACCTTCCGAAGTATTTTCCAACGCCAGTATGATAGGATGGGCAGGACAGAGGAGGCCAGGAAGCTGGTCCGCGAAATGGAGTATCAAGTGCGAATGTGTCTGGGTCTGGAAGATTGCTGAGGTTTGCGATGCAGTGTCTACTGCGTGGCCCAGTCCCAGAACATCCGCCACGCAAGTCCTAGCGTCACAGGTGTGCCTGAGACTGTTTCTTCAGGCCTAATCCGCATGACAAATGCCTTCTGTTTTTGACAGCAAGAAGAGGGACTTTTGCTGCCCAAGCATGACAGATTTTTGGGTGATCTAAAATCTAAATGTGCACTACAAGCTCACAGCTTCTTTATTCCAGCAGACCCAGACACACTTGCATTCGATATGGAAGCCGCGGCAGAAGCTGTAAGGGATGAGGCCATACTGGAGACACCCGGTGCAGCCCAAAGCCACAGCACTGGCCTCCGTTCGTGCCCGCTGCCTTAATCCACGTGAGGAAGTGCCGTCCAGTTGGGATCTGCTCGGCGGGGAAGCAGCGCTGGCTGTAATCTGGTAACCAAATGCGTGCGCGCGCGCGCGCAGAGCGCGCTGCGCTGCCACACTGCTTGGTCTTGCCGGTGCCTCCAGCTTTTGGGAGTGCAACGAACCCCGTCTGCCGTTTTTGTGACGAGTGTAGTTATACAACGCAGCGAGTTGCTGGTAAAAGAGGATCTCTGGAATTTAAATTTTTCAAAGCGGTAGATCACAAGCAAGAGCAACGATATGCATGTTTAAGAAAACAGACAACAAGAAGAGGCTATCATCTCCTGTGAAAAAAGACGCAAAACAAAAATCACAAAGGGATAGATATATGAACAGCACTACGTGTATGATTTTTTTGATTTATTTAAAGGTATGAAACGGTATGAGATAGAGTGTAAACGACATCGAGGATTTTCTCGGATCACGTCGTACCTAGGGCGACTGTGTTTCAAAAATGTAAATCTCGATCGGTCAATGCACGCTGGAACTAAAATGCTCACATCAAAAAACACAAATCTGTAATGCAAATTTCGAAGAACCCACAGCACAAATTCGGAACAGAACTTTTTTACAAATCGTAGATGAAAATGCAACTCAAAGAAGTCGGCTCGTAGCAGAATGAAGGATGAACAGGATGTCGGTCTTTCGTATGAAATCGATCGCGCAAAAAAGAAGTGTCGTGCAGTGCTACTATGTCGTTTTCTATAGAGTTTAAAGTGCGTTTTCAAATATTTAGCTTTTCGGAATTGTCACACAACTGTCTCCCAGGGTCATGTCGTGCGCTTAAAGAATTCACGGTAGGCACGGTTAGACTTTACCCCCCGAACCCGTTTGTTAACAGCTCTCGAGTACATGATCCAAAAAACTGCATGACAGATTTGAAAAAGCCGGTGATGATGATTTAGAGATTTGGAAAAAGGAGAAAAACAAAAACAACACCACGCGATGGGTTGAAAATAGGCTTGATGTGTTTTGATTTTTGTGTTCTGCCCTTTTTACATGACCAGTAGACAGAGCAAAGGTAAGACTCTCGAGAAATATAGAGTGTTGGTTCGTCTTCTCGCTTTAACAAGTGTTTGGGACCAAACGAGAACAAAGTAGTCCCCGACAGGAGGGACCAGGACAAACGCAAACTTCGCCTTAACAACTTTTTGCACGGTCGTGTTTATCTAGCAGTGCCGCTATTTTCTTTTTTTTGGTGATCCGCATCCTCTACTGTTTCTTCTTATGCATCTTCGCCTCGGAGACGGAGGTAGTGGAAGAGGTAGTTTTCTTTCAGATCCGTTTTGAATTCACTTTTGTCTCTGAGATTCAAATTGTATGGTCGTTGTGTTCGTGCGTCGTGCTTTCGTTTTCCTTTTCAAAATCGCTTTTGAGATGGTCGTGGACCATAATTTTCCGGCGCACGAAGATCTGCTTTCTGGTTTTTCTGATCTTCTAGTCTTCCGCTCTGATCTTCCAAATATTCGCGAAAATGCTACTGGAAAAGATGTTGACGCTGCCACGATTTGTGACGGAGGTTGTCTTCTGCGCCACAGAGCAGTATTCTCAGAAACGCGGTTCGAAATCATGTATACGAAGACCAGCGCTATTCGGTTTCGAATCCGATTCGAGTTACTGTTTCTTGCGGAGGCACCGAAGTTGTAATTGAAATTCAAATATAGTACTTGTTACCATTAATAGTCGAGAACTAGATCTTCACTTCATCATGGCCTCTTCTACGCTCCTTCCACCCGTGCTCGGGCTTGCCTTCGGGATTACCCTCCGCTATCTTTGGTTTTCGATGCTCGACGCGAACTATGCAGATAGAGGACAACTATTTCCACACCACCTCATCGCTTGTTGAAGGGCATTTTTCACAGCAAGGAAGACAAAGTTGAGAGTGCAGGTGTTGCATGACAAACTCAGGCCAGGACTGTATTTCCGTTTGGGATCTAAGTGCTTCAATATTGCGAAAAATACACTTGTGAGTTAGGAAAAGAAAAGTTGTCATGCTAGTACTGCCAAACGGCAGTGACAGGATTTGGAATTTTGCATGGCAAATGAGGAGGGGGGGACGAGTGATTTTACCTTTTTCATACGAGCCACTCCATTCTTGAGGACGAACCCGAGCTGAATAGCCTATCTAAGCGGAAAATTCAAATTGTGTTTTTAGTGGTCGCACTTTGATGTATTGATGCAGGACATGCAAATGCATTTGATGGGTTGCGTTGGTTTGTCCTTCAAAGGAAGCGTTGGACGACGAGGGAGTGTTGGGTCGTCCTTCGCCTTTCAAGCGGCGCGTTTGGAGCAGTTGGACGTAGTCTCTGCACATGACAAACTTTTGCTGTCATAGCAGACAGATTTGTGATGCTGTTTAATATATGTCCCTGAACAACAATTACTTAAAGCTACACTGAAACTACACTTTGACTTTTTTCTTACATACCCCCCAATTACGAGTTACCAGCGGTTCCGCGAGACTGCTTTTTTGTACGAGCACGTGCACAAGTTCGACTTGGAAAAGCTTTACCAGCCGTACCAAAATCTGAACTACCTGCCACCCCTCTTGTTCCTCTTTTTGTACCACGGGACTGCGACCGTCTTTCCGCACGACTTGTCCTCCTCCAAGTTGCTGTACTGGTGGTTCCTGTGCGGCGTCGACGTGTGCGTGTTTCTGTTGCTATTTTTGCTCGCGAAATGGAAAATCACCGCCGCTGCGGGAAAGACAAAGAAGCAGCTGTACTACCGCTTCTACCGCGACCACAGGGACGAAGAAGAATATTACGACCAGCATGTTGATCACCAGCCTCTGCTGACGCCGACCGCGGTATCCTGAGTAAAAACGTCCCCACACCCTGAGTCAAGATGGGAAATCTGCAACACAAATCTCCGAGTTTTGGGAGTTCTGCATGACAAGTTTCCATCTCCAGTGTAGTGCTGGTTAGCAAGGAAAGCCGCATGAGTGAAAGCCACCTACTCATCCTGTTTACAGCATTACAAATTCCAAAACACGACAGGAAATGCCTCTCAAGGAGATGCGCATTACAAATGTTCCTGTCATTCCCAATTTGCATGACAACTCTGGGGTGGGGACGTTTTTACACAGGATACGCGGTTGGTCTGGTTTACTTCCTGAATCCCTGGGTGATGGCCGGACACAACGCGATGTGCTGTCAGAACCTGCACGGTTTTCTCTTGTTGGCCGCGATTTGCGCCGCGTATTCGGGTATCAAATGCAAAAATGTCTGGGTCTGGAACTTTGCTAGACTTGTCATGCAGGTTTTCCATGACCCATGTCATATGATCTGTAATGGAGGACCTAGCATGACAGATTCCGTGAGATCACTATCATGCCTATCCTGCATGACAAACTTCCTCTCAAACCCTTGGTTTTTCGGGCTTGTTCCGGCCTTTTGCATGATCTGATGCTGTCTCGGTCGGTGGTGTACGCGGTTCCATCTCTGCTCCCTCGGTTGCGGACGTTTTTGCATTTGTCCGCTGCGACAGTTCGCCTTGTTTGCGGCTGCTCGCCATGAAAGCAACTACATTACATCTTGCCTCACTTTTTTTAAGATGGGTTTTTTCGTAGTTGGGACTGTGCCATAGTAGATGACTTTACCGCTTTTTTGCTTTTCTTTTATCCCTCGGCGCTGGTGGGTCTGCCGGCAAAGTTATCCCTACTCAGATAGCTACATAGCTCATCCCGCAGCCGTCCCAGGAGCTCTTGTGACTGTCTCTCGGTAGAGATCGCTTTGCCCGTGCTTATTCCACTCAGAGTTTGCTGGGTAGGTGGCTACCGTTTTAAGTTTATAACCGAATGGGACGCCCTGCCCTTAGCCTTCCAACATGACAAACTTCCTCTCAACTTGATCAAAAGTGGACAGCATTTGGTAATCATGCAACACAGATTTTTGCATGATTGTGATTCAGATTTAGCATGCCAAGTTCCAAGCTTCCAGACCCAGACATATTTGCATTTGATATCGGGCAAACAACTCCTGACCGCGGTTTTTTACAGCTTGGCGCTCTACTGCGTTCCTTTCACGCCGTATCCAAGAAAAAAACGTTGTTAGTGTAAATTTGTGATGCGCAACACTCAAGATGATTGCGTGTGTCATACTTGGCATGCATCGCAGGGTCCATTAAAGGGCGTTTTCACGTACTATCTGCGCATGACAGGTTTTTGCTGTCATGCCAGACAAATTTGTAATGCTGTTCCTCCAAAAAAGTTACACCTATAATGTTTTTTTCTTGGATACGCCAGTGATCTTGTTTGTGCCATTGCTGGCGTTGTTGGCGAGTGATTTTTTGTGTAGAAAAGAGGATGGAGTTTTGCGACTTCCTGGAGGCGTAGCATCCTCTTTAAAAACAAGAACGACGTCTACTAAAAACCCGGCGCCGCCAGCCCTCACAGTAGACCTGGCACGGCAAGTGGCGAGTGACTGCAAGAAGTATATCCAGTGCAATAAATATGATCCCTGGAAGATGTCTGGAAGGATGGAAAGGTTTGTCATGCAGCTTTCGCATGACCCAGAAGTAGGTCTGGCATGCACGCCGTAGCATGATGACAGGCTTTCTCGTTCTTGGGAAGGTCTGTTAATGCGTAATCCGCATGATCATGAAGACCAAGCTGTTCATCTTGTTTTGGTTTCCAGAATTGCGGCGCAACTTATATTGGCTACTTGCACAGCGCGCGACAGATTTTTGTGTGATGTGAAATTATGCGCATCACAACAAGTTCACATCCTTGTCCCTTCAGACATCCATGGTGGATCTTTGCGCTTGATAATATACTTGGATTTTCGGTTGATCACCGACAGAAGCGAAGTGCGGAAAATCGCAAACGACCGGATCGCGGAGGTGGAGCGAGCAGCAGATCATGCGGCGAAAAGTTGTACTCTTGCTCAAAAAATTGTTGAAGAAAAAGACGATAATGTTGATGCTGCAGGACCCACTTCGAGGACCACGTCAGCTTCACGGAGCAATAACATCACGCCATCTTCGCCGGCAGGAGAGGAGACGAGGACGGAAACGGCCCAAAAAAACCGTGAAGACGAGCCGAGTTCTTGCCTTTCCCCAAAGGTGATTCTTCCTGCAAGTAGCGGTGGTTCTGACGTTCTGCTGTCTTCCACTTGTTCCGAGAAGATGTTGACAAACGCAAAAGACAGCCTAACTACAACGACGCCCGCAGTGGTCACCTCCTCCACCTCCGGCTCGCCTACGACCTCAAAACTTATTCTGACGCACCCCCTGTGCTTGAGCCCCGAGTTTTTCCGGGAACACGGACTTTTTTTCCGGCTCTTTTTCCTGCAGCTTGGGAAGGTTTTCGGTATTATATCAAAAGGTATTATATATCCCTCCCCATACTGAAAATGTATGTTTCTAAAAATTTGTGATGCTGATTTGTGACCACTAATCCTGTCTCTCGTGCAAGAGGGCAAACTCAGAGACTCCGCCACGATATGCAGGCGATTTGTAATGCTGCAAGGCCTATAGGGCAGACGTTCACGTTTGCCATGCTAGGCCCCTACACCAAGAGGCCCCTCCTTAGGCTTACGATCTGCGTGCAGTCCTTTGCTGCAAGACAAATGTGATTTGTGTACTCAAATACAGCAGCGCAAATTTCTGTGTAGGTCCGCTCTGCGGTCTACGGACAACTCGACGAAGAAATAGAAGAAGAGACACAAAAGCACTTTCTTACATGAAATTTTATATGCGCGTCAGCTGTGTTTTGTATGAATATGTATGCCGTAGATCGCATCGGCAACGGCCGGGGCATTATGTTTCTGAATGTGATTCTTGAGGTAGCCCATGGCGGAGAGGACTACTGTCCTCGAGTCTGCGGGAGTAGCTACCCCTCCCCTGCTCCGGGTTGTAGTTGCCATTGGCGTCATTGATTGCGGTCGACAATATCCTTTCCCGCTGATTGCCTTCTTTGGGTTTGTGTGCGGTGAGTAGGAGCTTGCTCCTGATTGGTGCAGCGGTGTCGGAGGTTTTGCAGCATTCACGCACAAACTGCATTTTTGGAAACGGAGGGGGGGCGCGGGACCCCCATCATGTCGTCGCGGCGCGAAGCCGCAAATCCCTGGTCTTCGTTCACCATCAGAAGCTTTCGACCGGTGGGGCGCTTCACTGAAACTAAGGTTCTTCGTCATCGTGGAAAAAACTGGATCGGACGTGTGCCGCTGCTACCGGCTCGACACGTACAAAGCGAATTCAGCGCGTTGCGCGGGAGTACCTACCCCTCCCCTGCTTCGGGTTGTAGTTGCCATTGGCGTCATTGATTGCGGTCGACAATACCCTTGCCCGATGATTTCCTTCTTTGGGTTTGTGTACGGTGAATAGGAGCTTGCTCCTTTTTTGTGCCGCGGTGTCGGAGGTTTTGCAGCATTCACGCACAAACTGCATTTTTGGAAACGGAGGGGGGGTGCGGGACCCTCATCAAGTCGTCGCGGCGCGAAGCCGCCAATCCCTGGTCTTCGTTCACCATCAGAAGTGTTCGACCGGTGGGGCGCTCCACTGAAGCTGAAACTGAAACACTCTGCCCCCCGGTCCTGGCAAAAAGAAAAAAAAAAATACAGCAGCGCAAATTTCGTTTTCGATATAGGGAGGGGGGATATTTCTTTTTTATATATTACCGCAGCGCTTCTCTACGTCTCGCACCTCCTCTGCAACGAGAGCTGGGGCTTCCTCCACTCCTCCTGCTTCGCAATCTTGCAGATTGAGGACTTGAGCCCGAATCTCGGCTGCTTTTGGTACCTGTTCCAGGAGATTTTCCCGAAGTTTTATTACAGTGAAAAATGCTCCCCCCCCAAAAGTTGCAAAAATTTGTGATGCGAGGTTTCCAAGTGAACCAAATTCATGCATGAAAGGAGTATGAATCTTTCTGATGCAGAGTCTAGGCGTATATCGCATCGCTTGCATGACAACCGCCGCTCTTGCTGGGATCTTTTGCAATACAAATTTTTGCTATTCGCGATCGGAAATTTAAGTAGCTTTTCAGGAGAAGTTTACGCTAAGTGGTCGCGATTTATTGGTTTGAGTAGGCCTAGAAAAGGCACAGGGACGGACTGCCCTTAGAACTCCAATGTGATGCTGATAGATGCAAGAGGGCGAATGTTTCTTTTGGAAAGGTTTGCAATACAAATGCGGGGGCATTTTTCATTGCAATAAGTTTATCGTCCTGTTCCTCTCCGTGTTTCACGGCCACTTGTTGTTCTACGTGTGCCCGCTTTTTCTCTTCCTGGCGCTGGACTACAAAAAGTCGAAATTCGGCCCACTAGCCAACTGCGTGGTGGCGTTTGGGCTGGTCGCCCTGTTCCGCCCGTACCCCACGGTGGTGGACTTTTCGCTCTTATCAACTGCAAATATGTCTGGGTCTGGAAGAGTGCAAGACTTGTCATGCAGGTTTTTCATGACCCACGAGGTCTGGTATGGAGGACATAGCATGACAGATTCTGTGAGAGTTCTATCATATTAGATACCTATCCTGCATGAGAAACTGCCTCTCGATTAGGTCAAAAGTGGACAGTTTTTGGCAATCATGCAGCACAGAGTTTTACATGATTCAGATTTAGCATGACAAGTTGCTTTGTTCCAGACCCAGACATTTTTTTTTGATAGTTCCTGGTCGCATTGTACTGCGTTTTTGCGGACCAGGTGCTGCCGGGGAAAGTGTCCGCCAGGGTCAAAACGAGGATCTTTCTGTTGGTGAAGAAAAAAGAGACGAAGACCACGGGTTTCCGTACTAGAAGTGCAACTATGCATTGCAAAACTATAATCGCACTGGCATAAATTGCATCACAAATTCTTCAAGTCGAGAAATGAAATTTGCAATGCTGATTTACCTCCTTAGAACCCCTCGTCTAAGAAGGGAGATTTGTTGACATGCATGTTGACTGACTGCAAGTACTTAGTACGAGTGCGGTTCTTGTTTTGCACAGCATAGCAACCTCCACTTCTCCTGATGCGGAGGTGATCAAGCAGAGTAAACTGCAAGAGGATCTTATCCAAGAAAGAAAGATTGTAGGTGTAAATTTTTTTGGAGGAACGGCATCGCAAATCTGTCTGGCATGAGAGCAAAAACCTGTGGTGCGCAGATTTTACGTGAAAACGCGCGTGTTGAATGGACCTTGCAAAAATGCATTCATTCCCAGTATGGAGACAGCCGCAATCGCTTTGTATGGTGCGCATCTTCACTACAAAGTTACACTTACACAGTTTTTTTCTTGCATAGATCTTCAGCTAAACGAGGAGTTTGAGGAGGTTGAAGCTTTGGCAACACAACTAGGAACAAACAACCAGATATTTATTGACAAGAAGCCCTCGAAGATGTTACTGGAAGATTCTCGTGAAGAAGGAGAAGTAGATGAGAGCAATCGTGTAGGTGCCTCAGAAGATGACGAGGATGTTGGTCAAAATGATGCAGACGAAGACGAAGACGACACGCCCTGCGTTTGTTTCGAAATTGTGTCACCGGGAGTACGCATTGCAAATATGTCTGGGTCTGGAAAAGTGCCAAGTTTGTCATGCATATTTTCCATGACCCATGATGCCTGTGATGCATGAGCATGCCCCAGCATCACAGATTCTGAGAGAGCTTTCCGATGCTCATACCGCATGAGAAGTGCCCTGTTCGCGTGGCAAAAACTGGACCGCTTTTGCTGTTCATGCAATACAGGTTTTATGTAGAAGAGTCCAAAGGTAGTATCACAAAGTTGCATACTCCCCGACCCAGACATGTTTGCAGTTCATAGGGAGATACAGGCGTCGATTTGCAGCTTGTGGAGCGAAAAAGCGTGAAAAGATCTGCGTCCTCATCTGCAGCTTCCGCCGCCGGATCGGCTGATCCAACAGAACAAGTAGCGGAAGGAACAAATACTGCACCGACGACGGCGGTTAAAGATCATCATGATACTACAAGAACCTCGTCCGAGGCAGAACTACATCAAACTACTGGCGGCACGAAGAGCAAGAAAAACAAACTGCAGAAACTCTTTGCTTTCTTGTCACGGATGAAGAGGAAACAAAACGGCGCTCCTGCAGCTCCTGCTGATGATGATTCTGGAGCCTCTACAGCCACTGGCTGCGACGAAGCCTGTGCAAACGCACGAACAGCAGAAGAGTTTGTTTTCGTGCATGAGGTAGAAGATCAATGCACGACCGCTAGTGCTTCGTCCGATGAACACCACGATGATCAGGATGGTGCGAATAAAGCAACAAGAGATAGTCGCGGAGAAGTGGGTCTTTCTGCTGTGCCGTCGTCGACAGTTGAAGACAGGGCCAATAAAAAAGAAGGATCTTTTCATCCACCTTCTAATTGTACTAGTACACCAAAGTCAGCAACGAGTTCTACTCCTGCAGCGGTTAATATTTCTACTACCCCTGCTAGTTCTTCCCCCTCGAGCTGCAGCTCCACCAGCACGACCTCCTACACCCCTCAGTCTCGCATCGTGTTGCAGCTCGCGTTCGCGTTCTTTGGGATTACCATGTACCCGGTGATGACCGCGGTTTGGCTGTATCGGAACACGGGCAATGCGAATTTTATGTTTTTCATGCAGCTGCTGTTTCTCGTGTTTGCGAGCATGACGCTGATGGAATTTGTCGGGATCTGTCACCACGCGCAGCTACTCATTCCACCGAGGTGTTAGTTAGTAGAATGGACCTTTATTTTTCTTCTGTGAAGATAACAGGGAACACGGTAAGTACTTACTACTTGCGCCAGGGAGTTGTCAGATGAGCTTGAAATCAAAGTGAAATTGTTTTTATACTGCAGTTGTAATATCGTTGCTCGTGCAGAAAAACCGCTCCTCACGGAGAGTGCTCGCGGTTTATTACTCGGAAAGGTTTTGTGAAAACCTTAACCTTTTGCCATATCAGTATCACGTGAGCTGAAGATGGTAGTTTCAGAGGAACGAGCTTGTTCAGGATTAGTATCTATGTTTGTATGTTCTTTTTTCCACGTCGCAAAGCAGCTGGTGGGACGGCAAATTGAGTGGGCGCAGTTAGTACCAGGCTGCAGGCTGCATTGGTTCGGTATTTGATGAAAAATTAGTTTAGAGGGGCGAGTTGTGCAAAGTTGCCAAAGTAGACGAGAGAGGGGCGGCGCGTTTTCATCAGTAGTAGATTCTGGGAAGAGCGGGAGAAAAGGAAAATAAGTTTCGCGGAGGAACGTATGAAGCCGTTTAGATTCACTATTAGTGTTACACAAGAACTTGCTGTGCCCAGTCATACTGAAAGACTGGTGTACATCAAATAAATTCTTTGCTAACCTCGGCGGAAGATGCCTCAAATTCAAATACGTACGAGTTGACATTTTGGCCTCGACAAAAACCTGCTGTTGGAGTTTTCAAAGAAGGAAAAGCGCGCAACGCGACCTCATGCTCGCAAAAAATTCCTCCGCGGTTTGAGGGTATTATTTTCCGAACAACAACGGGAATTCAGCTCATTTTTTCCCGGATAACATCAGCAAGACACCTAAAAGTGGACAACTTTCACCGATGGACCACTCTGTGCAGGCAGAAGCGACCTCGTTCTCGGCTGCTGCAGCCTGTGAAAGAGTAAAAATATCAGAGGGTTTAATGTTTGCTGCAGATCCATCTGCAAATAAAAACCCGAGCTGCAGCCAAGATATTAATCATCTGCGGGGTCGCGCCGTCCTGCCACCTCCAGCTTCTACAGGTCGTGGCTCAAGAACACAGTTGCCCTCAACACACCTGTTTTGCAGCACGACTACCTCCTGGGCTGCGGAAAAAGTGCAGAAGCAGGTGACAGAGGATTTAGCGAAGCACAGCCTGATTCCCGTAAAGCCCCGGTTTCTCAGTCTAGCGCTGTTCGTCGGCTGTTTTTTCCTCACGAGTGTTTTGGAGTACTTGTTTTATCACCAGCTGCATTTTATTCCGGAGGAACAGGAGCACCAACATCAACGGAGCGACCAGCTGACAGCGGCGACTGGAGGAACAACATCGAGCGTAGAGGGACTAAGAGAGGGCGGCGCTGGTCGTGCAGCTTCTGAAGATGCACAAGAAGATTTACGTCACGAAAATCGTTGATCAAGGTTGTACTGGTACTACGACTTGAAGAATAATCAAGCAGTTGCAAAGGATAAGAAGCCGCGGGCGAACCAGTACTTCTGAAACGAGTTATCTTCTGGTGCCATTTTGATTTTTATCCGCCGGGCCATCTCCATCATCTTCTTGTTCTTCCAGTGATACCTCCATAGTTGAAGTACTTGCACACCGAACCACGCTCGAAGTGAGTACTTAATATGGGCGCGTGGCAGTCCTCCCGAATAGTAAACAACTCATTCATTCCTTCGAACGGGGAACAAGCCAGAGCAGAGACAGAGTCAACGCAAAATCGTCGCGAGGACGAGAAGAACCAGTCTTACTTATCCTGAGGAAAAACGTACCCACACCAGAGTCAGGATGGGGATTTTGCAACACAAACCTAGGAGTTTTGGGAGTCACGCATGACAAGTTGCAGACTGTAGTGTAGTGCAGCTTAGCAAGGGAAGCCGCATAACAAATCCGTCTCCTTATCCTGTTTACAGCATTACAAGTTCCAAAACACGATGGGCAATGTCTCTCATGGGGATGCGCATTACAAATGCTCTTGTGCTTGCAAATCTGCATGACAACTCTGGGGTGGGGATGTTTCTACATATGATATTACTGCACGACCTACACGGATGAAGCCGCGGCGAGAGGAACTTCCGCCCAGAGCGCACCTGCACAGCAGACAGATGAAGATGGTCAGCATGATGAAAAACAACAAGCGCATCATCTGCAGTTTCAAGATCAACAGGCGAGGAAAAACTGCTATTCCTGCAAGGAGTCCTCGCAGCTACTCCTGCATAAGAAAAGTGATGGTGCGACGACGAGAAGATCTACTTCCACCGCAGAAGAAATTCATTTTCCGTCGCAAATACCAACAGCACACGCACAGAAGCAGAACAAGAAAAGCAAAATCACGATGGAGCAACAAGGCAGCCGGAACGTCGAGACCAGTTCTCGCAACTTCAATGCTGTTGAAGCAGGCGGCACCGTCAGCCTTACCGGCAGACCTACAAACTGTTCAAACTCTCAGAAGTCCCATGTCGAGTTGTGCACAACAAGAAGGTCCACCGGATGTAGGACAGCTAGCGACGTCGTTTCTTCATCATCATCGCCGCCGCAGAAGAAAAGGAGAATCAGTTGCGAGGAGGTGGAGGCAGCACGCAGTGGTACGGCATCTGCGGCGGGATCCAAAAGAACGACCGCTAGTACTACCCATGCTCTTGCCAGGCCAAGCTTTATGCGTGACGAGGACCTCCACTTGCATCAAAAACACGACGACGAGAAGTTCTCCTCGCACAGAGAAAAAACAGCGTCGAAGCGAAATTTCGGAAGTACTACATCATGCGAAAATAACTGCAGCAAGAATCACGTCGAGACCACGTGTTATTTTCTTCTCGGAGCAGCTCCTGCAAATGATGAAGATCAAAATTACGACTGCGAAGATGAGGAAAGTGAGTGCCGCGGAGACGTCGTTGATCACGATCTTGTATCCTGTGCAAAAGTATCGTACTCGTACTAATCGCAGTCATGCAAGACAAATTTTTTTGTCAAACTAAATCAGCATGAGAAATTCCATTTGTCATGCTGAGCTAATTTGTATTGCAATACTACGAGTACGATACTTTTGCAGTTCATATCTTGCCTACGAAGCAGACGCAGAGGGAGACGAGGCCGCGGGGGCAGAGGAAGAGGTAACAAGTACAACATTCATCGCTTCTTTTTCTGTTTAAGTAAAGTATTTATTGGAGGCATAGTGATCTGCTTATGCGTTGAGAGGGAAAGAACGGAAGAAGCTGGGAGAAAGATGAAATTTGTAGACCTATTTTTTATATTTTCCAACAAGCAACTTTGCATAAAGTTACGAAATTTTGTGAAAACTTTCGTTTCGCTAAGCGTCAGAGTTTATCATGTCAAGATCCTGAGCGCTAATTCTAATTGAATGTATGATTGACCCTTGCCTTCAATTCTTGAGGTCCATCTCCATGTGGATCCGACAAACCAGATCCCATCAGGCACAGAAGAAAGAGATCACACGCAAAAAAATTTCGAACTTGCAGCACTGCAAAGATCCGAAAATCTTTCGCTCGGAATCACGAAGAGATCACGCTCCCAATGCCCTTCAGATCCGATGTTATTTTCCTAAAAGATCATCATGTTCATTTGATCCGGAGGTTTTTTGCAAGTACTTTCTACTTTTTCTGACTTTATTCAACTCTCCAGGCGAAGTGAAAAATCAAAATGTGGTAGGCCGCAGGCAATAGTTTCTAAGGCTGGCAATCAGTTCGCTGTTTCAGTGGGTTGGAATTTTGTTCGGTGGAATTTCAGGCACACATTGAAATAGGGCCTATGTATGTTGAAGAAGTCGTGTACGATAGTGCAAATAGTACCGCAACCGCTGGAGTGCTGCTGTTCGCGTTGTTTTCAGTGTAGTACTTTCTGTGTAACCATAGACCACTCTGCGACAACACAAAAATAAGAACGAAAACGAATTAGAAGTAGAACCTGCATTTATCTATTCCTTCAGCAGTGATGTATCGTATGACAAAGTGCAGCCGAGTTTGAAAAAAGAAAAAGAAAAACTTATCTCCAGGACGAAAGCTCCGCAGCAGAGGACGACTCAATTATATCCTCCGAAGACGACGATAGTAGTTCCTCCGACAGCTGCAAGAATACCTTTCACCGCCCTGTGATCATCGACGAGATAGCTTCCGGAAAAAAACAAGTTGACCACCAGCAGAACAACGCGAACAAGTACACACCGAAGACACCGTCTTCCTGCGCCAGCTACAAATCCTTTTCCTTTTCCTCCCCAATTTCCAGCATGGTATCCGAAGCCGGCCGCGTCGCCAACGCGGTGTCTTCGATAGTCAGGAAGCGCCAGTTGTCGGTTTCCAGCCATTCCTCCCAAAAAAGCTCGTCCAGTGGACGAGCTGCTGTGTCTACTCAACAACAGCAACTACGTGGTCATAATATTGCAGCGAGAAAGATGAACGGGGAGAACAAACTTCTTCTACACGACAAGCAGCAGCATCCGAGAAGTTGTAGCTCTCTTCTGCTCCCCCAGAATGGAACGAGCGACGCCGGAAAGGAAAACAAGAGGGCGAAGAAAAAAAAGAACCGGCTCGTGTCAAGAATAAAAGCAACATCGAGCGGAGGTTTCAGCGGGGATCATCATGGGGAAGAAGGGAACGACGTCGAGATGGCAGCAGTTGGTGTATCAGGGCCGGATAGTACGGGTGAGCTGCAACCTCCGAGGTCTAGTACAACTGCAGGAGCTTCCGACAAGGCCGCAGAAGCCGTGGTTGTGGCAGCTGATCATGTTGTCAACAGGCAACTACAACATCATCAAAATCAGACCGTAGTTCATACACCTGACGAGGCAGCAACAGGAATAAAGAAGGGTAAAAAGAGGAATAAGAAAAAGAACAAGAATATTAAATGTGGAGCAGGATCACAGCCGGGGAACGGAGCAAGTTCTGCTAGCGAAGATGAACATGCTCTTGACCTTATCCTGAGTAAAAACGTCCCCACACCAGAGTCAGGATGGGGATTTTGCAACACAAACCTAGGAGTTTTGTGAGTCACGCATGACAAGTTGCACTCCGCAATGTAGTGCAGGTTAGCAAGGAAAGCCGCATTACAAATCCACCTGCTTATCCTGGTTACAGCATTACAAATGCCAAAACACGACTAGAAACGCCTCTCATGTCGATGCGCATTACAAATGTTCCTGTCATTGCAAATCTGCATCACAACTCTGGGGTGGGGACGTTTTTACAAATGATAGACCTCCATGCTGCTGCTTCATATCAATTGCAAATATGTCTGGGTCTGGAAGGCGGCAACTTGTCATGGTAAATCTGAAGCATGCAAAAATCTGTGTTGCATGAGAGCCAAAAGCAGTCCACTTTTGCCCAAGTTGGAACGAAGTTTCTCATGCAGGATAGGCATGGCAGAGACCTCGCAGAGTCTGTCATGCTAAGTCCCGCATTCCAGACCTCATGGATCATGGAAAATCTGCATGACAAGTTTACTCTTTTCCAGACCCAGACATTTTTGCAATCCATACTTCAAAAGTAGCCGGTATTTCAGCTATGTTGAAGACCGCACCATCCTGTTCCCAGCTCTTACAAGAACTACACCCGAAATCTGCGGTTGATGAATCGAAAATACCTCTTCTCGATGAGGAACTCACCCAGTTCGGCGAGCGCGATACGAGCTACATGGAAGAAGTGATTTCCGAGCTGGAAGGTCATGTTGGGGAGGCAGAAAAAGAAATAAATGCAGAGGACCACCTGGTCCAAGCGCATCAGCAGCAGCCACGCGTGCTCCTTCCCCTTTCCTCCAAGAAAAAAAGGAGAAAAAGTGCAACTAGTACGCTAGACCACGAAGCAGGAGGGGAAACTGGAAAGAAGGAAGATGGGTCCTCGTTGTACACAACAGCTTCTAGTAGTACGACTTCCGCTGGTAGTGCATCAACACCAGTCAACATAAGTGCACCATCAAATTCAAGTCCTCGGGTGATGAACGTAATAAACGAGCAAAAATCTTCGTCAGCACCTTCTTGTGCAACTACAACGGCAAGAACGGGGGAAAATTATAACTGTGCGACATCAAATACAAATTCAAATTCGAGCAAAAATAACCTCTTCAATCTGGGTCAAGAGAAAGAAGACAGCACCAGTTCCTCCACCGCGTCCACTTCTACCAGCCACGACGGCGGTCTAAATCAGCAGGATCTAGTACGACCCCACACTCACGACTTCCACGCGCAGAGGACCAACACCAGTGAACAGAGTCGTGAAAAGAACTCCAGTTGTTCACCTGCACATGGGACTGAAAACACAGAAGTGGGAGCAGGAGCACTTGGACTGGAACAAGCAAAAACGTCAAACAAAAATCCTTCGGCTCTGGTCGACGTGTCCTCCATCTCGCAAACCGCAAAAAACGTCGTCGGCTCTTTGTTGTCACCCGCTTTGACGCGGTGGTTGCAGCTTCGGGCTCCTTCAGACATCGTGGTCGGGCAGAATACTAAAACTGGTGCACCAGGGGCAGGATCAAATTCACCTAGCGCGGCCGGGCAGCAACAGCAAGAGAAAGCGGCCGCTGGTCATTCCTCCTCCTCGACGGTTGTATCGAGCGCAACGCCAGATGCAAGTGCAGGGAAAACGGCACAGAGGACACCTACAGACACAATGACTTCAACTGACGCAGCACAGGACCAGGAGCGCAGCGCCGCGGCGAAGCCCGTTGAAATAAGGACGAGCGCGCAAACTGCAAGCGCGAACAAGAGGGAACAGGAAGTAGCGGCGCCACAGATGGAAGTAGTTGCAGCACCTGCTAGTCCGGCCTTAGTCCTTCAACAAGAACCTCATGCTGTCAATAGTACAACCAAAACGACGACACTACACGAGAACAAGCAGCTGTTGAACAAGCAGAAAGTTTTGCGGCAGATCGGCGACTTCCCGCTACCGAAGGAGAGGTACAAAAAGTCCCCGAAGTGCAAGGTATCAACTGCAAAAATGTCTGGGTTTGGAAGAGTGGAACTTGTCATGCTGTTTTTGGACTCTAAAAAAATTTGTATTTCATGACCAGCAAGAGGAGTCAGTTCTTGGCACGCCTTGAGGGCATTTGTCATGCGTAATTAGCATCAAGACGCTCTCAAAAAATCTGTGACGCTAGCACCAGCATCTGCATCACAGACCTGACGGGTCATGCAAAATGTGCATGACAAGCCCCGACTCTTCCATTTTTGCACTTGATACAAGGAGTTCGTGGACAATTTCTTGCGGAAGCTCTATGGAAGCGTCAGGTTTGAAATCGTCAAAGTTGAAATAGTTTGTGATGCATAAAATGCAACCCACAAGATGCCTCTCTTGCAGAGTAGGCAAAAGCGGCAGATTGTAAGCCTGTTGAGGGGTAGAAATCGAGCTGCTACAGTAGCATGACAAAAGGCGTCTTTCTTACCGAAACAGCATTACAAACTGGATTTCGACTCTACTTAAATTTCTCATGCGCCACTTGAAATCTGGGTTACAACTTTCATCCATTTCATGCATGACAAATCATTTCAACTTTGTCGATTTCAAACCTGACACTTCCATAAGCTCCTGAGCAACATCGGGAAGCCGTACAATTTGACGATGAAGCTCGGCACGCAGCAGGACATCGTCCAGTTGCTAAAGTACGCCCACATGATATCCTAAGCAAACACGTCCCCACCCCAGAAGCAAGATGGGAAATCTGCTAGACAAATCCACCAGTTTTGGCTGTTGCGCATGACAAAACGGGTCTTGTAGTGTACTGCGTGATCCTGTGTAGTTGTACTAGCTAGCTCCGCAGCATCACAGAACTAGCCTACTGTGCTGATTCAAGCATCACAAAATCCAGAACACGACTACAAAATGCTTCTCATGTTGGGGCTCCGCATGAGAAACATTTTAAGCAGGCAGTTTTGCATGACACCTAATGGGATGTGAGGACGTTTTTACACAGGATACATGATCGTGCAGGACCAGCCCATGTTTTTGGAGCTGGAGGCGCCGATCAACATCGTGGGGGACATTCACGGGCAGTACCAGGACTTGATTCAGCACTTTATCAACAATGGGTTCCCCCCCACCGCGAACTACTTGTTATCCTGTGCAAAAGTATTGTACTCGTAGTGATCGCAGTCATGCATTACAAATCTCGTTCCCAAGGCAAATCAGCGCGACAAATTCCATTTGTCATTCTGAGCTAATTTGTATTGCAATACTACGAGTACGATACTTTTGCAGTTCATACGTGTTTTTGGGCGACTACGTGGATCGCGGGCAGCAGTCGCTGGAAACGATGTGCCTACTATGGATTGCAAATATGTCTGGGTCTGGGAGAAGGCAAACTTGTGATGCGCATTCCAGAACACAGAAAAATCTCTCATGCATAGGTAGCAAAAGCTGCCCGCTTTCTGTCACCAAAATGGGGGATTTGTCACGCGGATTCGGCATTGCGGAAGCTTCTCGAAACCTGTGATGCCAGGGCTTCCATGCCAGACCTTCTGTGTCATGCAAAAACAGCATGACTCTTCCAGACCCAGACATTTTTGCATTTGATACCTACTGATGTGCTACAAAATCAAGTACCCGGAAAACTTCTTCATTCTGCGCGGGAACCACGAGTGCGCCTACATCTCGAAGCTTTACGGTACTGGTCATTCTTTGTTTATGTAGTGCAAAAGTATCGTACTTGTATAGATGCATTACAAATTTGTTCCTCAGCATGAGAAATAAAATTTGTAATACTGATCTACCTCAACGAAAAGATTTGTTGCGATGCGATGAAACAAATGCAATACGAGTACGATGAAACAAAAGCCACATTCACTGAATCTATCAGGTTTCCACGACGAGTGCAAGCGGAAGTACAGCGTGAAGCTCTGGCGCGAATTCACGCAGTTTTTCAAGTGGCTTCCCGTCGCGGCGACCGTGGGCGAAAAGATTTTCTGCGCGCACTATGCAAGAAAAAAACTGTGTAAGTGTAACTTTGTACTAATGCAGAACATGCAACAGAGTTACACCTGTCATGCCAAACAACAACGAAGTCCTCTTTTCATGTGTGTTTTCCCTTACAAGCAACGCATGACAGGTTGTCGCTGTCATGTAGAGCAGCAAATTTGTGATGCTGCCAACCAAGGAAAGTTATGTTACACTAACACAGTTTTTTTCTTGCATACGCACGGAGGCTTGTCCACCGAGATGTTCACCGCGAAAGACCACGTGAATGTCCCGGGAAACGACTCGGACGAGGACGATTTGTCGAACCTCAGCGACGAAGATTCGGATAGCAGCTTACGCATTGCAAAAGTATCGTACTACTTAGTATCTATAAATTGCAATACAAATTTCCTTAGCATGAGAAATCTGTAATGCAGATTTACCTCAAGAAAAAGATTTGTAAAAATGCATGACTCCGATTAATTGTACGAGTCCGGTACTACTTTTGCACAGGATACAGGTCCCTCTCCGTGGATTTGGACGCCTCGGAGGCTGCGGGAAAGAACATGAACCACGCGGCAAAAAAGGAAGAAAAGAGGCAGGAATTGCTTTTAGCGGAAAAGGCCGCGGAAAATGCGGAGAAATTGAAGATGAAAAGCATGAAGAGACATCAAGTTGGCACGACGACAGTAGTATCTGGAAATTCAAAGACGGAAATAGAGAGCGCAGCCGTCTGGCCGAGTTCCCCCGTGTCCCCGTTGCCGCAAACCAATGCCGCAGACTCATCCCCTTCTGCCGGTGGATCTTCCGGGGCAGGAGCATCCTCTTCCTCTTCTCAAGGTTCTTCCGCTGGCGAGGAATTGAATGGAGATAGTACAGCCGGCAAAAAACGACCCACAAAGGCTGAGAAGAAGCGCAAGAAGATATCCTCCGTAAAAACATCCTCACACCAGAGTCAAGATGGTGATTTTGCAACACAAACCTAGAACTTTTGAGGGTCACGCATCACAAATTGCAGTCCGTAGTGTAGTACAGGTTCGCAAGGCCAGCTGCATTAGAAATCCATCTGCTCATCCTGTTTACAGCATTACAAATTCCAAAACACCACTAAAAATGCCTCTCCTGGCGATGCGCATTACAAATGTTCCTGTCATTGCAAATCTGCATGACAACTCTGGTGTGGGGACGTTTTTACTCAGGATAGAAGAAGCTTGCGGGAAAGCAGTTGGTGCAGCACGTCGCCGAATTGTTGATGGAAGACGAGTATCAATTGGAAATATGTCTGGGTCTGGAAGAATGCAGACTTGTCATGCATATTTTCCATGCCCCATGAGGTCTGCAATGCAGGACCTAGCATGACAGATTCTGCGAAGTCTCTATCATGCCTATCCTGCACGAGAAATTTCCGCTCATGTTGATCAAAAATAAAAGGACAGCTTTTGGTGATCACGCAATACAGATGCTTGCGTGACCCACGGGACGCATCACAAGTTCCACTTTTCCAGACCCAGAAACTTTTGCGATGCATAACGAGCAGAGGAGACTGATGAGAGCAGCTTCACCTGCTGTTGATGCTGGGCCTTTATCTTATCCAGACGGCGGCGGGGTGAATATTAAATCTACTCCCTCGACGTCGGAAGAAGTAGGAGGGACGACGCGAACAGCAATAGCCGACGAAGATGAAGACGAACACAACTACGACAAGCCTTGTCCTAAGGGTTGGCGAAGGAAAAAATCCGTGATTCTTCCCGACTGCTTCTTCTACCAGAATGTAAAAACCGGGGAAATCCGGGCCGAATGTCCACCCTCGATTGTTGCAGTAGAAGCAGGAAATGAAGTAAAAAACGGTGCGGAAACTACTACTATTACACAAGGACCAGCAGGTGCGGGAGGTTCCACTACATCCCCAAAGATAAATCAAGAAAACGCATCTTCAAGTCCCTCTTCCAGCGAGGCGGAGCTGTCGCCCTCGTATCAAATGCAAAAATCCCTGGAGGTCTGGAACAAAGCAACTTGTCATGCTAAATCTGGATCATGTAAAAATCTGTGTTGCATGATCGCCAAAAGCTGTCCACTTTTGACCTAATAGAGAGGCAGTTTCTCATGCGCGATAGGTATGGTAGAACTGTGACAGAATCTGTCATGCTATGGCCTACATGCCAGACCTCCTGGGTCATGGAAAACCTGCATGACAAGTCTGGCATTCTTCCAGACATCCAGGGATTTTTGCATGTGATACCTCGCGGCTCGTGACGAAATTCGGAAACTCCTGCTTGACAAATCTATCGAAAGGAAAAATCCCTCCTCCCCATATCAAAGTGGCAATCTGTGTTGCGGGATTTGCGTACACAAATCAGCTTGGTCTTGCAGTATAGTAGTGCAGGCAGATACAAAGCCTGGAAGGGGCTAGCTAGAGGTGGGCGCCCAGCATGGCAGACGTGTGCCCTTTTGGCGCAGCAGCATTACAAATCGCCTGCGCAAAGCGGCGAAAGCTCTGGCTTTGCTCTCTTGCAAGACAAACCTGATTTGTGACCACAAATCAGCAACACAAATTTTCAAAAGGATGCCTTTTCGATATGGGGAGGGGGGATTTTTCCTTTTGATAAAATCGCATGGAAAACCTGTCGGAAAAGAAGATTCTCACTAATTTCCGCGATTGGGTACTTTCTTATCCAGCGTCTAGGTGTAATTAGACTTACTCACATCAAGAACCAGCACAGCGGCTTGCTGTGGCTATACTATGAATGAAAAAAGTACAAGTAGTTGTTTTAGATTATCAGTCAGAACTGCCTGTAGATACAACCTAACCGCCGGAGGACGTTGGTCGTGTGCGGAAGAACTTTTCACTCTTCAAAAACTGTCTTTCACAGATCCACAAAGAGAAGCCCAGTCGGGAATCCGTGCTCGCCGTGCTCCACTACCTCCGAGAAACGCGATATGGGAGTGTCAGGATTGAAATCGTCAGAGTTGAAATAGTTTGTCATGCATAAAACGGAGACCAGTTGGAGCCCAGTTCCCAATTGGCGCATGACAAATCTGGGTAGGGCCGAAATCCAGTTTGTAATGCTGTTTGGGTAAGGACGGCGCCTTTTGTCATACTACTTTAGCAGCTCTTTTTCTACCCCTCAACAGGCTTACAATCTGCCTCCCTTGCCTACTCTGCAATACAGGCACTTTGTGGGTTGCATTTTATGCATCACAAACTATTTCAACTTTGATGATTTCAATCCTGACGCTTCCATACGCGACACGTCTCCTTAGACGAGCAGCGCGTCCTGCATATCCTGAGTAAAAACGTACCCACACCAGAGTCAAGATGGAAAGTCTGCTAGACAAATCGGCCAACTTTGCTTGTTTCGCATGACAAATTTGGACGCGTAGTGTAGTGCTGTTTGAGCTAGTTCAGCAGCATTACAGATCTAGTCTCTCATGCTGATTGGAGCATGACAAATTTCAAAACACCTTTAGAAAATGCTTCTCATGGGGCTCCGCATGACAAACATTTTAAGCATGCAGATTTGCATGACAACTATGGTGTGGGTACGTTTTTACTCAGGATACTGCAGTGGCAGCAGCTAGCGGAAGGGCTCGCCAATGATAGTAGTACAAGTAATTCTAGCTGCCAGGATACAAAAGCAAGAACCAAGACCAAGAGCACGAAGACGTTCTTGCAGCTCAAGAACACCCCGCCTCCGCTCACCGCCCCGCTCCCCTCCCTCCCGTCGAAACCCAGCAAGATAAGGCAAATCATGGACCAGAAACTGCCGAACCGGCCGACCGAAATCCCGGAACACGGCATGATGTGCGACATTCTGTGGTCCGACCCGGACCCCAACACGGTGTTTTGGCGGGAAAACGAGCGGGGGGTGAGTTTCTGCTTCGGGCAGAACGTCGTGGACGCATTCTGCAAGAAGTACAACATGGACCTGGTCTGCCGGGCGCACCAGGCGGTCTCCGACGGGTATTGGTTTTTCGCGAGGAAAAAGGTGGTCACGGTTTTTTCCGCCCCGGATTACTGTGGCGAAATGCAGAACGACGGGGCGGTGTTGAGCGTCAGCAAGGACTTGAGCTGCAAGTTCAAAGTGCTCAAAAGCAACCACCGGCAGGAAAGCATGATTCGAAGTACAGTTTGATACAATATTATTTTTAGGCGGCTCTGAAAGATGGTCAAATTTGAATCTACGAAGACAAACTTGTCATGCGAAACAACCAAAGCTGGTGGATTTGTATAACAGATTTCGCATCTTGACAAACGATAATTCAGGTCTCCACGGGCGCCAAACGCGACAGTTTGACATGGAGAAGCTGCTTTCCACAGGGGAACTGGAGTACCTTATGCATTGCAAATATGTCTCGGTCCTCTGGAAGAGTGCAATAAACTTGTGATGCGCATTCCACAACACACACAATCACAAATCTCTCGTGCATGAGCAGCAAAAGTTGCCCACTTTCTGTCACCAACATGGGGGATTTGTCATGCGGATTAGGCATTGCGGAGCCTATGCCTACCTCTCGAAACCTGTGATGCTGGGGCTCCCATGCCAGACATTCTGTGATGTCATGCAAGAACAGCATGACAGACCCGCCAGACATGTTTGCATTTGATACACCTCGACGAGCAGCCAAAGAAAAAGGCGAAGAAGATGTAGTTCGCACCGGAGGTGTAGAAGCTGCACCCCGAGCTGCGACTTCTCATGCGGCTGCCTATTTTTTTTTTTATGCAAGGAAGAAAATAGAATATACGATATGGAGAAGTCTACAAAATCTAACGAGAAAATAACAGTTTTCTATTACCAAAGCCGAAGATGAAGATCCGTCTGTTACGGTCTTTTATGCCCAACAACATTCATCCTAAATGTCTTCACAGCGCGAGGAACAATGCAGAGAGCGCGTGCAGCAGCTCCGTGTGAGGTAGGCACTTCAGGTGCCTGGGCCATGTGAAGATTTTTTTTCATCTCACAGGGTCCTTCTAGCTCGTATAAGTCGAACGGATTCTTGCGCGCAAATTTATAAAATGAAATGCTGAAAGTGAAATTTTTCCAAGGTGACACGAATTATCGATGACGATGCGATTGACTGCTTTATTGCCATTGTTCACTTAGGCATGGAGTGACCTAGCAGGGGCTTTTACAGGCGGTTGGTGTTCATTCTGTGCATTAGTAGTAGTCTTTCAGTTAAGAGTCATCGTCCTCTCCTGTGATTTGATGAAAAAAGCAATACACTGAAACATTTTGTATTGTGGCAGGCAGAGTTGGAAGCAAGGCAGAGAGACCATCTCTGTCATGCCCGAATAAATCGAGTTATTGTTTCCGCCCCTACTTGCGATTTCTCTGGCAGCTTATGCTTAACTTTATAATTTACTTTATAAATGTATTCTCGTTCGTGATGTCCGTCAGTCCAATGAAAATGGCAAAAGTGAATATTTAGATACCTTTCGCATGATTTCCCCTAGAGTACGTAGGTTCTTGGTCGACGTGCGTGATGTTCTTCGTACAAATCCCGTTCGCATCATGGATTGAAGCTTTTCACACTTCGTGTATTAAATGTCGTTCTAAATGAGTATATTTTTTGCAGTTGCGGCAAAGCGGGGTCGTTGTACTTCTACACGCTCAGCATTGAAAGGGGCAGTAGGATACTCGTCTCAAATATTTCTCCTCTACCGTCGTCGTTCTGGGGGGTCGTAAACATCTGCTAGATAGAAGCGAATCGTCCTCCGTCGTTGTACACCGGAACGTCGCGTACAGAAAAACTGTCCATAAAGCTTTTTGACATTCGTTTTCGTAGGCTAGTATATATAAAGATCCTTGTCGTTTTAGTTGTTCGGGATGTAGTTCTAGCGCAGCAGAAATCGAGCCCGCAAGAACTGTCTGAATTTGAGTATTAAAAAATATGAGTATTTGTGGTACGACAAACAGGAAACTTTTTTTTCCTTCTCTGCCCTCACGGACTATAGACGAGAACAAGGAAATACAACGCAAAAATCAACCAGCTCGAAGAGGATTTTTCTACCACGACATCGCCGGTCGTGTACTAAGTAGTTGTACAGCGAATCAGCGACAAATCGTAGCGAAAAAACAAATTACAGCAAGCACTTCGCCTGCGAAACCAAGAACAAATCCAAAATCATGCCGATCCACAAGTCTACTACTTCCATTGCGCGCGTCGCAACGACTGCCGCCCTTGCGGTGGTCCCCCTCGGGGGGGGGGGGGTGTTTTCGGAGCAAAAATTGGTCCCGCGGCTGCTACGCATGAGTGGGCCGGAAGCGAGACTTCCCCGGCCGGATTCACGGAAGTGGACCGCGTCTTATGGACTGCGAATTTTTAGGGCTGCTACCAATCTTGCTCTGCAACTACTGGAAGATTATCTTTGGTACTAGAAGTGTATATGCTTAGGTCGCAAGAACTACCCAGGAGTGAGCTCTCAGCTCTGTGATGCATGTTCTTCCCCAAGAATGATTGCACGGTCGTGCGCCGAGCTGCGTGCCACTCTGACACCACGACAAACCGCTCAACGTCAATCTGTCATGCTTGGAAATCTGTATATTCGAGTTTCGTCACGATCATCTTCATCCACGAATCAATTAGCATCGCATAAATTTTAAGAATTTCAAAGCAGACCTGGGCAGCAGCTTTATTGCAGTGCATACGTGCGTCGCGCTGCGAACATGAAGGCGACGGCCGCGTCGAGGGCTTCGCGTGTGGGCAAGAAGAAGTCCTCGAAGGCGCGTGCGGAGAAAGCCAAGGCTTCGGTTGTCTCCGGGACCAGTACTTCCATCACGGCGAAGAAGAAAGCTGCGCAGGCACCTCAATCGGCGTTTGGAGGTCCGGCAGCCGAGCCTCAAAATGCTGCCGAAGCTGCCAAGGGTGCGGCGGGAGTCCGTAAGGCGGCGGCTAAGGCGGCGCCCGCAGTAGGGGCCGCAGTAGGGGCCGCTGCTATCGCTGCCGTTCCCGAGGCCGCGCCAGCGGTCCTCGAAGCTGCCGCTCCCGCCACAGCCGCAAGTCGCGAAGCAGCAGCTCTCGGAGCTTCCGCAGGTGATGCGTTTAACGAAGTCAAATGGTCGGCGCCCTTGGCCACAATTTATTGGGTAATGGGCCATTTTTTTTTTGATTTTGGTGACTGGGCCGTTCCTGCTCTAAGCGCTGAGTGGAACTCTGCGCAGAAACTTCCTCTCTATAGATGAGAACCCTTTAGATGAGAACGATTGATTGATTCAGTTTTGCATCGCTAGCAACGTGTATCCTTCTCGTGCCTCTTGATCTTGACTAACCAAAATGCAAAAACCAACCGATCTACGTAGTAAGTTAGCTGCCTATAATAATCATCTACCTGCTTGTGTGCGCCACGCCTTCGACCATCAAGAGATCAAGCTATGGTAGCATGAGAGACGAGAAAGCCAGCCACGCACGCTTATTTCCTGCTCATTGCGTTTCTACCTTCAATTTCTTTTCCAATCATTTGTTATCAGAAAAAGTCAAAGCTGTCATTCGCATTTTCAATCTTTTCATTGTGCTTTACGTTTACCTTCGCCACACACTGCGCATCTTTGTACTTCCTTTCTCCTTTAAAAAGCAAACAAAACCTCCGTCATAGCACTAGCTGTTGTTGTAGCTGTCGGAACTTCTCTGCACGAAAAATGTTACACGTAGAATTTTTACCATCATCATCAGCAAAGTTGTCCCCAACTACTCGTGAAGAGGCGACGAATTTATTTGAGTTTGATTTAATATTAGATTTAGTAACAGCTCCACCTCCAACCTTCAAGGAAGTTACCAAGACAGTTAATAGAGCGTTTTCTTAGAGAAATTATTACATCGCCCGCCTTATCCAGGCCCGTGGTCGTGCCACAAGGGAAGCCATTCTCTTCTGTGGGTAAGATGACCAAGAACCTCCCGACCCGTGGAGGCATGATCTACTTAAATAATATGAATCGTTCTCGCCTACCCAAAGAAGTAAGCAAACCTTAAATCTTACCCGAGCCTTATCCAGGCTGCCGAGAAATAAAGTCGCAGCGCCAACAAGAACAATTTAAGTACATGCATTGGGCCGTGAGTCTGGTCATCAAGCAGGATTAGGAATAAATAAGGCGCTAATTAAGCGGCTCTCCTCAGTGGCAGTCCTCACAGTCTCACCAATAAATACTTCGTAGTTGTATTTGTAAAACGATTTTCATTTTTCACTCAGTGCCTTATCCAGGCTGGTCCCACGACATGTAGAGACAACATATTTATGCAATGCGAATGTGTCTGGGTGGCCTGGAAAGTTGCAAGATTTTGCATGCTCGGCTGAATGCAGTCGCAAGAAACAAACCATTACGCCCGTGAAGATGCAGGGCCATTTCTTTATCTCGCAAAAAATTGATTTGTCAGCGCGCTCTTTGTCGTTACGCTAGGCGTAATACGCCCTCAAAAATGGCCAGCGTGCGTGGCTCCATATTGGAACATGCTTGCCATCGAGTTATTTAATATCATTTGCAACTTTCCAGAAGACCCAGACGTATTTGCATTCGACACAGCAGCAAGCGCGACACGACGTCGGCCGATAGTCGACTACAATTCTAGTTCCTGCGAAGATGCGAAGTGGGAATCCACTTTGCTTCGGTAATCCTCTGTCCGGAAACGATGCGCACCGAGAGAAAAACAGGTACTGCATAGATTGATACAGTGCTGCTCTTCTAGCATTAGCGTGGATCATTTTGTGCCGTGGAGTTGTTATTCCCACTCCTGACTTTGTCGTTGCGAAGATGCACGAGAAAGAATCGTGCGGAAAACTATTGCAGAGCGCTGATATCTTCTTTTTGGACTGCTGATCTGCCAGGGCCAATGCGATCGACACAAGAAGACAATCCAATTGGAAGCGTTCTTACATGCGAAGTAACACTCTCTGCGAAGTTGGCAATGCATGGAAGGCATTTTTGTACTGTTGTACAGTACTAGCCCATCTGATTATTCACAAATCCGCGATGCACAGACGACAAGGCTCGCGTGGGCCTCTCGGGCCACATTTGTAAAATAAATGAAGAAACCAAGAAAAAACACTTGTACAGGTAATCATGACTCGCCGTGTTTCTCGACCAGGACTAACGCAATCGACAGACGAAGCTTATCGAAGTACAGTAGAAACATCCTACTTTGCGAAGTTGGCAACGACTGGAAGGTATAATTTTTGTACTCTTGTTGGCTAGAAGCAGAAGGCTTTGCATATAAAATTGTCAAAACAAGAACTGCGTACTTACCGTGGTATGTTGTCAATGTGCAATACAGATGAAACTAGGGACGACCAGCACACTGGGGCTTTTGTGGTGCATGAACAAACTGAAGCGACTTTATATAAAACACCGTCACAGGTAACGTCTCACGGGGCCTGTTTTACTCTGCTCCTGCTACCATCAACAGCGTAAGAAGCTTCTGGAGAAGAAGTCAGGCAGGTTCAGGTATTGTGCCGTGAGTCTGGTCGTCAAGCAGGATTAGGAATAAATAAGGGACACACGACAATTCTTATACGCAGCTCTAGTTTAATATTCCCTACACTGCACGAGGAGGATTAAGATGAATCAGCCAGGATATAGTAGTGCGCGAAATTTTGTTTTTGTTGGACGTGGACCTGTGCGACGCGACTTCTTTTAAGTTTTTCCCGGGGAAGATCATACATAAAGCAGCAAAGTGCGGCGCCTTTGTTGTTTGCTGTTCTTATACGTCGAACAGCAAGCCCCCTGTACGTTGTTCCTGGAGGAAGATGCTATTTTGATGTTCGTGTGAAATGTTGCGACTTTTCATCTCTGGAATGTGGACTATGTGTTTGCCACAACTTGAAGATCACATTCATCGTGAGGAACGTGACTGCAACGTCTTGTGCCATAATCTAAACCCGCAGCTCAGGTGTGGCAATCTCAAGATCTTGTGACGGCTAAAGTCGCGGCGATTTTGTCCCGCATCAAGAGCAGTATCAGGAACTATATCAACATGCGCCGCCCCGGTCGTCCTTTCGTAGTAAGTACGAATGATTTCACTGGAATAAGTACAGGTTGTATAAAAAAAAATCGCTTTCGCCATTCGTGATGAACTCGTCTATTTCGAACCTCGTTTTGATGTCGATTATCCAGCGTGGAAAACAAAAACTATTCGTCGCACTCGTCGTGGGAGCAAGGAGAAACAAAAGAAGATCCGCACTACATCGCTCTTCAACTACGTCGACTTCTGCGATACATCAAGGTCCTTTTACACCTTTGTCGTTGGTACACTGAGTTGTAGATAATTCTCGGGTCGCAGCCATTTCTCGGTGTACTTAAGTTAGTACAAATGGGCTCGTCCGCGAGCATCCAACCGCTATGGAGAAAGGACCAAGGCCATGTAAACTTGTTTATCGAAACTAAAAAAAGCGTTAGAAATTAGGGTAGCGCTTGTTCGTGGTTTATTTCTATCGCTTCAAAAAATTAAAATTTTCAATGACAATAGATAGGTTCTGTTCTTGAATTGACCGGCTTCATTTGCTGTTGATCGAGTTTTGTTCCTGATGAAATCAGCTCTTGATTCTCTGCCACAACTAGAGGTTTGAAGAAATAACGAAATAAAGGCTATAAAGCTTGCTCAACCGCCAAAGTGATCGCCAAACATGGCTGCCAGCATCCCTCTCCCCGAGTTCGTGCAGGCGATGTCCAACGCAACAGCAATTTCCCCGGATCAGCTCCGCGGGAATGGTGGTGGTGCAAGTGGTAGTACGGCCAACTTCGCCCCCTCGACTTTATCCAGGAAAAAACTGTAATTAGTGTGGGTGTCTTGAAGTGCTGACAGCATGACAAACTTGCTCCGCACTACTACAGAGAGACGAAAGCTTGTCATGCAAAGCTAGTACGTGAAAACACACATGAGAAGAGGAGTTCATGGGTGTCTGGCATGGCAAGTGTAACTCTTTTGCATTTTCTGCATGACAGACTTACACTTACACACTTTTTTGCCTGCATACAGCTCCTCCCGCCCTCTCGACAGTCGCGGCAGCATGCGGGCCATTATCGTAGAGAAAAACCACCCCTCCCCGTATCGAAAAGGAAATTAGTGATGCTGATTTGTGGCCACAAATCAGCTTGGTCTTGCGTACAAGGCAAACGGCACGCATGTGGGCGCATTGTGCAGCGAGTCTGTCATGCGTTTTCGCCTATGTCGGACGTGTTTCTCATGCTCAAGCGGGATGCGTACCCAAATCGGCTTAGAATGAATGCGCCGACAAGCAGCTCTTGCTGCAATACAAAGCTCATTTGTATGCACAAATCCAGCAACACAAGTCGCCTTTTGAATAGGTGGTCGTGGGGGCTTTTTTCACTTTGGTAGCCATGTATCCGGCCAGCGCGAACTTGTACGAAGGCGGGGTGAATAACGAGCTGTCTCTATTACAGTGAAAAGTGCCCCCCACCCCTGAACATGCAAAAATTTTTGATGCGAACTTGCCAAATGAAAACTTTTTGTCATGCATGAAAGGAGTATGAATCTTTATATTTCTGGTGCACGTGCAGAGTCTAGGCGTGTATCGCACCGCTCGCATGACGAGCGCCTCTCTTGCTGGGGTCTTTTGCAACACAAATTTTTGCTATTCACGATTGGAAACCTGTGATGCTGATAGATGCAAGAGAGCGAATGTTTCATGATTTGGAAAGGTTTGCAATACAAATGCTCCCAAGTTGGGGGGTGGGGGCATTTTTCATTGTAATAGTCTCCGCGGATGCGGGGCCGGAAAAAAGTGGTGAAAAACGAGCGGGACTTACATGTTGACAGAGGCGGAGAAGCAGCTGCCGAAAGCAGCAACGGTAAATCGCTATCAAATGCAAAAATGTCTGGGTCTGGGAGATTCCGAGATTTGTCATGCAGTTTTTTCAAGCTCCGCCTCGTCTGGAATGCAGGACCTAGCATCACAGGCTCTGCAGCTCCTTGGTGATGCGTATTCTGCATGAGAAATGCCCTCTCAGCATGGCCAGATGTGGGCACCTTTTGCACGTTCTGCATCACAGATCTTTGTAGGATCCGAAACACGCATCACAAGTTTGGATCCTTCCAGACCCAGACATTTTTGCAATGCATAATCGCAAGACGCGTTTCATTCAAAGCGGAAAACGAACAAGTCCTTCTATATGGATGTGTCAGGATCGAAATCGACAAAGTCGAAAAATTTGTGATGCATAAAATGTAGGGCACTGAAGGCCTGTATTGGGGAGCAGGCAAATGAGACCGATTGTGAGCCTGTTTAGAGGTATACAATGTGCTGCCAGAGTAGCATTACAGGAGGAGTGTTTTTTGCCCAAACAGCATGACAGACTGGATTTGGGTACTCCCGAAATTTGTCATGCGCCACTTGGAACCTGAGGCTCCAACTGACAGCGGTTCTGTGCATCACAAGTTTTTCGAAATTGTCAATTTCGATTCTGACACTTCCATATTCTACCCCTCTCCGTTAAAATCCCTGGCGGAAAGGAAACCCAGCTTGTTTATCGCGAGAAGCAGCGTAGAACAAGTGAATTCGAAAATAAAGCTGAACCAAAGTAGTACAACTCCCTCCCCTATGAATTGCAATAGTATCGTGCTCGTACATAATGCATTACAAATTTTCTCAGCATGAGAAATAAAATCTGTAATGCGGATTTACCTTAAGAAAAAGATTTGTAATGCATGATAGCAATTGCTACGAGTGCGATACTTTTGCACAGGATATCCCCGGGAAAAAGGGGGAGGACAACCACAAGAAATAGTTTCGGGGAAGACGTTATCAACTGTAAAAATGTCTGGGTCTGGAAAAGTGCGCGATTTGTCATGCTGCTTTTCCATGACCCATGAGGTCTGGAATGCAGGACCTAGCATGACAGATTCTGCGAGACCTTTCTAATGCCTATCCTGCGTGAGAAACTACCTCCCGACATGGTCAAAACTGGACGACTTTTGGTAATCATGCAACACAGATTTTTGCATGCTACAGATTTAGCATGACAAGTTGCAATCTTCCAGACCCAGACATTTTTACATTTGATAGACGTTATGATGAACAAAAGTCAGAGTCAGCTGTTCGGCGGGGCGTCGACGCTTTCGCCGCAAAGGAGTATGACTATCAAAAGGAAAAATCCCCCCTCCCCATATCAAAACGGAAATCTGTGATGCAGATTTGTGGCCACAAATCAGCTTCGTGATGCTAGAAGGCAAAAGATGCGGACTGTAGTGCTACCTAGCGTGGAAAAGTATTGCATCTCCAGCATGACACGAGGCAACTGGAAGTGGGAAACAGCATGACAAATTGCCTGCAATTCAGGCCGCGGCTGCGTCTCTTGGCCTTCTAGCAATACAAGTCGATTTGTGTACTCAAATACAGCATCACAAATTTCGTTTTTGATATGGGGAGGGGGGATTTTTCTTTTTGATAATGACCATGAGCAGTTTGCTGAGCGGAGCAGGTACTAACATGATGAACCACGGAGATCATGATGACTTTTCCCTGTCCCCGCGCGGCCACACCGGACGGGGTAGGGACAGCACGACATTGAACCGACAGTCGACTATGACCAGCACGTTCGGGTCTCCCGGGATGAGTAGTCTTTCCCTGTTCGGTAACAGTCCCCGGAACCAGTCGGTGTCGCCAAGAGCTTATGAACAACTGCAAAAGTATCGTACTCGTAGTCGTATAAATGCATTACAAATTTCCTCAGCATGAGAAATAAAATTTGTAATGCGGATTTACCTCAAAAAAAGATTTGTAATGCATGACTGCAATACGAGTTCGAGTGCGATACTTTTGCACAGGATAGAACTTCCGCGGTGCGAATGCGGGGCGGGTTCAGTGACGAAATGACGGCGATTATTCCGAGTAAAAACATCTTCACACCAGAGTTGTCATGCAAATCTGCCTGCCAAAAATGTTTCTCGTGCGGAGCCCCATGCGAAGTATTTCCCCGTCGTGTTTTGGGGTTTGTGATGCTCAAACCAGCATGATATGCTAGATCTGCGATGCTGTTGGAGCTAGCTAAACAGGATTACACTAGTACGGGGCCAAATTTGTCATGCGAAACAACCAAAGCTGGTTGATTTGTCTAGCAGATTTTCCATCTTGACTCTGGTGTGGGCATGTTTTTACATAGGATAGCAATGGACGCGGGGTGTCAGTATTTGCTAAACCAGGACGCAATGAATAACAAGGCCACTGGGACAGGAGAAGGACCCTCCGGGGGAGATCAGAACGCCGCGAATTCCGGTTTTGGGAACAAGCAAATCAACGCGGAAGACGTGTTCCACGAAGCGAACATGCTGGCGAATCGGTTATATCCTGCGCAAAAGTATCCTAGTCGTAGTAGTTGCATTTATGCATTACAAATCTCTGTCTCAAGGCAAATCAGCATTACAAATTGAATTTGTAATGCTGGGCTAACTTGTAATGCAATTCATACTAGTACGGTGCTTTTGCATTCCACCGGTTAGCGGAGTTGGAAACAGCGGCGGCGCAATTGAAGCACAACTTAACAGTATCCTGAGTAAAAACGTACCCACACCAGAGTTGTAATGCAAATCTGCATGCCAAAAGAGTTTCTCATGCTGAGCCCCATGAAAGGCATTTTCTAGTCGTGTTTTGGGATTTGTGATGCTATAATCAGCATGATATGCTAGGCCTGTGATGCTGCTGAACTACCTAAACAGGATTACAGTACAAGGACAAACTTGTCATGCGAAACAGCCAAAGCTGGTTGATTTGTCTAGCAGATTTACCATCTTGACTCTGGTGTGGGTACGTTTTTACTCAGGATAAACAGCCTTCGATCCGCTGGGGAAGCGGGGCGGGGGAGCGGACGCATCGGGGAAGGGGACCAAGAGGAAGGGGTCAATGTTGAGTTCCGGGGGCACCGTGGGGGAATTGGACGCTGCGGGGGACCAGAAGTCGAAAAACGCGGCGTTTGGGTTGAAGAGGGACGTCAAGTTGCCCCCCTTGCAGTTGAAGAACATTTGTCCGCCGGAATTTGTGCAGGAGCTGAACATATCAACTGCAAAAATGTCTGGGTCTGGAAGAATCCGAACTTGTGATGCTGTCTCTGGATTCTGAAAAAAATTGTATTGCATGACCAGCAAGAGGGTTCCAGTTTGTGCTACGCGGAGAGGGCATTTCTCATGCGGAAGGTGCATCAGAAAGGGTTCTAAAAATCTGTAATGCTAGGGCATACATCACAGACTATCATGGGTCATGAGAAATATGCATGACAAATCTCGCATTCTTCTAGACCCAGACATTTTTGCATTTGATAGAACAAAACGAGACAATCGGCGAACTTGATCCAGAAAAACATCGACTTATTTATAATCCGCTCAGGTGTTGTTCCAATCTCAAACGTTACAATAGAATATGGAAATCTGTGATGCAAAAGTGCATGATCTAGCCAATTCCAACTCTCATAGGGCTGCGCATGAGAAGTTCCGGAGCCCCAAACCCCACTACAATCTGGCGAAATTTGTATTGGAGAAAGTGAAATGCTGTCCGAGTCTGTCATGCTCATCATGCAATACAAAACCCAGACTCTATTGCAACGTTTGAGATTGTAACACCTGAGCCGGTTATATTATTCAAATCCGAGGACTGTCCGCGGCCGCAAACCCGGCAGAAACAGTTGCATATGGAACCAAAAAAGTTCGTCACGATCACCCATGTTTGCATGGGTAAAGTTGCATGTTGATCACAGTCTAATTTCTCTCTTGTAGTTGTGCAATACATGTGAAGAAAAGATTTCTCATGCAAAAACTGCAAGGCAATGTCAATGACTATGACGAACTTTTTTCACGCGATATTGCAGGATAAAGCGGTAAGGAGGAAGTCAAAGTTGATCGCAACTCGGGCATATGAAGTGCAAATATGTCTGGGTCTGGAAGATTGTAAACCTGTGATGCTGTGTTTGGATTCTAACAAAGTCTGTATTGCATGAGCAGCAAATAAAGAAGTCCAACTCCTGCTACGCGAAGAGGGCATTTGTAATGCGGGATAGGCATCGAGTTCGAGACGGCCTCAAAAAATCTGTGATGGTAGGGCGTACATCACAGATCGATCGTGGCTGATGCGAAACGTGCATGACAAGTGGCATCCTGCCAGACCCAGACATATTTGCAATGCATAGGGCACGGAAAATTCAACTGTTGAGTTCGGAGTACACAAGGACGTTGCGGTTGTATGAAGAAACTTTACGACGAGCTCTGCAAGCGGAGGAGCGGAAAAAGTCCCCGCGGTATCATATGTAAAAACGTTCCCACCCCATTGTCAAGTTGGGAACTTAGCAACACAAGTCCAGAAAGATCGGGACCGCGCATGACAAGTTGCAGGCCGTAGTGTAGTCGTGCATGGTACTTAGTAAGGACAACCGCATTACAAATCCATCTGCTTATCCTGTTTGCAGCATTACAAATTCCAAAACACGACTGGCAATACCTCTCACGGACGAGATCATGCGCATTACAAATCTTCCTGTAATCGCAAATCTGCATGACAACTCGGGGGTGGGGATATTTTTACTCAGGATACGCGGCGGGATTTGTACAGTGCTGCAGCCATGTCGCAGATGACCATGAGCAGCATGAGTCCGAGAATCAGCACCCGGGGCGGGCCGGGCAGCACGAGAGGGAGCCACTATCAACTGTAAAAATGTCTGGGTCTGGAAGAATCCAACTTGTCATGCGATTTTGGATTCTAAAAAAATCTGTATTGCATGAGCAGCAAAGAGAGTCCAAATTTTGCAGCACGGAAAGAGCATATGTCATGCGGAATAGGCATCAGGAAGCCCTCTAAAAATCTGTGATGCTAGGGCATGCGTCACAGACTTGAGGAGTCACGCAAAATGTGCATGACACACCCGGCAATCTTCCAGACCCAGACATTTTTGCATTTGATAGCCACCAGATTTCCACGATCACCGCCGGTGGGCACAGTATCAAATGCAAAAATGTCTGGGTCTGGATGGTTGTAGCTTGTAATGCTGTTTTTGAATTCTACAAATAATTTGTATTGCATGACCAGCAAAAGCAACAGGAGTCCAGTTAGTTTGTTCTACGCGGGGATGGCATTTCTCATGCGGAATAGGCAACATCAGGAAGGGTTCTAAAAATCTGTGAAGATGCTAGGTCATGCATCACAGACAATCACGGGTCATGCAGAATATGCATGACAAGCCGGGCAATCTTCCAGACCCCGACATTTTTGCATTTGATACGCGGCGAATTCGACCAATTTCCGCCCACGCCAAGCGGGAAAGCGAAAGTGTCGGGCATTGGGAAACTGGGGGTGGATCCGAGGGGGCAGGGGATGCATTTTATCAAATTCTCTATGGATTGTAAAAATGTCTGGGTCTGGAAACTTGTGATGCACGAAGTGGATGATAGCCGGACTGCAATACGCAGCCCAGCATGACATTTTTTTTGGCTGCAATGTCTTACGTATTCCGCATGGCAAACTGCGTTTTTGCATGACAGGTAAGAGGGCCTTTTCGTGCCTAGGCAACACAGATTCTCGAGTCATGCCAGACAAGCATGACAAACTTACATTCTTCCAGACCCAGACATTTTTGCATTTGATATTCTCCGACGAAAATCAAATGCTGTGCGGGTGGATGAGGTAAGATGAAGTAAAAAGTACTTACTTGCTCTCTTGATGCGGCGCTGCTCTTTATAAATTAGTTGTAGTTCTAGTTGTGCTGCTGCTCTGTATGGCACGCGTCGTCCTTTGTCGTGCGTATACCACATGATGACAACATCGCAATATCCTGAGTAAAAACGTACCCACACCAGAGTCAGGATGGGGATTTTGCAACACAAACCTAGGAGTTTTGTGAGTCACGCATGACAAGTCGCACTCTGCAGTGTAGTGCAGGTTAGCAAGTGCAGCCGCATCACAGATTCATCTGCTCATCCTGTTCACAGCATCACAAATTCCGAAACACGATTGGAAATGGCTCTCATGCGGATGCGCATTACAAGTCTTCCTGTCTTTGCAAATCTGCATTACAACTCTGGCGTGGGTACGTTTTTACTCAGGATAGCAACTCAGGATCGTCGCCGCGACAAACGCTTTAACCGAACTGACCAACGCGGTGAAGTACAAGAAGGAACGACAGCGGCAACGCCTGTTAGACCTCGCGAAAAAAGTGGACCCCCGCGTGTGGATCATGATGCAAATCAAGGGCCGGGTGCTGCTGAAGCGAAGGAAAGCCACGATCTGCGCACAGGCGCTGCGGGCGTGGAAACCCTGGCGCTTTTTGTGGTTTATCCTGTGCAAAAGCATCGCGCTCGTAGGTACTAATCGCACTTTCTGCAAGACATTTTTCTTTTTTCAAAGCTGAATCAGCATAACAGACGCATTCCATTCCATTTGTCATGCTGAGCTAAATTTGTATTGCAATAGACTACGAGTGCGATATGTTTGCATCTCATATGGTTTTCGACGCACCGGTTTCTGGGGAGTTGTGTGAAGATCCAACATATCAAATGCAAACATATCTGGGTCTGGAAAGTTGTAATGGTAAAAGTGAATGATAGCTGCAATGCACTATTCAGCCGAGCATGACAAATTGTTGAGCTGCTACGTGTTGCGTATCTCGCATGGCAAACTGCATTTTTGCATGACAGGTAAGAGGGTCTTTTTGTGATTATGCGTCACAGATTCGTGCGTCATGTCAGACATGCATGACAAATGCCAGAATCTTCCAGACCCAGATCGATATTTGCATTTGATCCACCAGTGGTGGCGGGTGAACTTCGCGTGGCACGAGAAGGCGTTCAAGCAGGTGTCTATCCAAGAAAAAAACGTTGTTAGTGCAAATTTGTGATGCGCAACATGCAAGATGATTGCGTCTGTCATGCTTGGCATGCGTCGCAGTGTCCATGAAAGGGCGTTTTCGCGTACTATCTGCGCATCACAGGTTTTTGCTGTCATGCGAGAGATATTTGTCATGCTGATCCTCCAAAAAAGGTGCACCTACAATGTTTTTTTCTTGCATAGTGTCGAAGCGGTTTCTAGTGTGGGAGAAGAAGTTTCTGGCGGAAAAAATCCGGCAGCAGGAATATGCCGCGAGGAAAGCGGATCAGCAGCGCGGGGGGTCCAAGGGGAGGGGAAACAAAACGGACCAAATCGCGGAAATGATGGCAAAAGCGGAAGCCAAGGCAAGAGCCAGCATGAGCATGGACGAGAAGACGGCGGTATAAGTAATGAAGTTTTTGAGCTTTTGTAACTTGCACCTGCTAAGCGTAANCGCAAACCCGGCAGAAACAGTTGCATATGGAACCAAAAAAGTTCGTCACGATCACCCATGTTTGCATGGGTAAAGTTGCATGTTGATCACAGTCTAATTTCTCTCTTGTAGTTGTGCAATACATGTGAAGAAAAGATTTCTCATGCAAAAACTGCAAGGCAATGTCAATGACTATGACGAACTTTTTTCACGCGATATTGCAGGATAAAGCGGTAAGGAGGAAGTCAAAGTTGATCGCAACTCGGGCATATGAAGTGCAAATATGTCTGGGTCTGGAAGATTGTAAACCTGTGATGCTGTGTTTGGATTCTAACAAAGTCTGTATTGCATGAGCAGCAAATAAAGAAGTCCAACTCCTGCTACGCGAAGAGGGCATTTGTAATGCGGGATAGGCATCGAGTTCGAGACGGCCTCAAAAAATCTGTGATGGTAGGGCGTACATCACAGATCGATCGTGGCTGATGCGAAACGTGCATGACAAGTGGCATCCTGCCAGACCCAGACATATTTGCAATGCATAGGGCACGGAAAATTCAACTGTTGAGTTCGGAGTACACAAGGACGTTGCGGTTGTATGAAGAAACTTTACGACGAGCTCTGCAAGCGGAGGAGCGGAAAAAGTCCCCGCGGTATCATATGTAAAAACGTTCCCACCCCATTGTCAAGTTGGGAACTTAGCAACACAAGTCCAGAAAGATCGGGACCGCGCATGACAAGTTGCAGGCCGTAGTGTAGTCGTGCATGGTACTTAGTAAGGACAACCGCATTACAAATCCATCTGCTTATCCTGTTTGCAGCATTACAAATTCCAAAACACGACTGGCAATACCTCTCACGGACGAGATCATGCGCATTACAAATCTTCCTGTAATCGCAAATCTGCATGACAACTCGGGGGTGGGGATATTTTTACTCAGGATACGCGGCGGGATTTGTACAGTGCTGCAGCCATGTCGCAGATGACCATGAGCAGCATGAGTCCGAGAATCAGCACCCGGGGCGGGCCGGGCAGCACGAGAGGGAGCCACTATCAACTGTAAAAATGTCTGGGTCTGGAAGAATCCAACTTGTCATGCGATTTTGGATTCTAAAAAAATCTGTATTGCATGAGCAGCAAAGAGAGTCCAAATTTTGCAGCACGGAAAGAGCATCTGTCATGCGGAATAGGCATCAGGAAGCCCTCTAAAAATCTGTGATGCTAGGGCATGCGTCACAGACTTGAGGAGTCACGCAAAATGTGCATGACACACCCGGCAATCTTCCAGACCCAGACATTTTTGCATTTGATAGCCACCAGATTTCCACGATCACCGCCGGTGGGCACAGTATCAAATGCAAAAATGTCTGGGTCTGGATGGTTGTAGCTTGTAATGCTGTTTTTGAATTCTACAAATAATTTGTATTGCATGACCAGCAAAAGCAACAGGAGTCCAGTTAGTTTGTTCTACGCGGGGATGGCATTTCTCATGCGGAATAGGCAACATCAGGAAGGGTTCTAAAAATCTGTGAAGATGCTAGGTCATGCATCACAGACAATCACGGGTCATGCAGAATATGCATGACAAGCCGGGCAATCTTCCAGACCCCGACATTTTTGCATTTGATACGCGGCGAATTCGACCAATTTCCGCCCACGCCAAGCGGGAAAGCGAAAGTGTCGGGCATTGGGAAACTGGGGGTGGATCCGAGGGGGCAGGGGATGCATTTTATCAAATTCTCTATGGATTGTAAAAATGTCTGGGTCTGGAAACTTGTGATGCACGAAGTGGATGATAGCCGGACTGCAATACGCAGCCCAGCATGACATTTTTTTTGGCTGCAATGTCTTACGTATTCCGCATGGCAAACTGCGTTTTTGCATGACAGGTAAGAGGGCCTTTTCGTGCCTAGGCAACACAGATTCTCGAGTCATGCCAGACAAGCATGACAAACTTACATTCTTCCAGACCCAGACATTTTTGCATTTGATATTCTCCGACGAAAATCAAATGCTGTGCGGGTGGATGAGGTAAGATGAAGTAAAAAGTACTTACTTGCTCTCTTGATGCGGCGCTGCTCTTTATAAATTAGTTGTAGTTCTAGTTGTGCTGCTGCTCTGTATGGCACGCGTCGTCCTTTGTCGTGCGTATACCACATGATGACAACATCGCAATATCCTGAGTAAAAACGTACCCACACCAGAGTCAGGATGGGGATTTTGCAACACAAACCTAGGAGTTTTGTGAGTCACGCATGACAAGTCGCACTCTGCAGTGTAGTGCAGGTTAGCAAGTGCAGCCGCATCACAGATTCATCTGCTCATCCTGTTCACAGCATCACAAATTCCGAAACACGATTGGAAATGGCTCTCATGCGGATGCGCATTACAAGTCTTCCTGTCTTTGCAAATCTGCATTACAACTCTGGCGTGGGTACGTTTTTACTCAGGATAGCAACTCAGGATCGTCGCCGCGACAAACGCTTTAACCGAACTGACCAACGCGGTGAAGTACAAGAAGGAACGACAGCGGCAACGCCTGTTAGACCTCGCGAAAAAAGTGGACCCCCGCGTGTGGATCATGATGCAAATCAAGGGCCGGGTGCTGCTGAAGCGAAGGAAAGCCACGATCTGCGCACAGGCGCTGCGGGCGTGGAAACCCTGGCGCTTTTTGTGGTTTATCCTGTGCAAAAGCATCGCGCTCGTAGGTACTAATCGCACTTTCTGCAAGACATTTTTCTTTTTTCAAAGCTGAATCAGCATAACAGACGCATTCCATTCCATTTGTCATGCTGAGCTAAATTTGTATTGCAATAGACTACGAGTGCGATATGTTTGCATCTCATATGGTTTTCGACGCACCGGTTTCTGGGGAGTTGTGTGAAGATCCAACATATCAAATGCAAACATATCTGGGTCTGGAAAGTTGTAATGGTAAAAGTGAATGATAGCTGCAATGCACTATTCAGCCGAGCATGACAAATTGTTGAGCTGCTACGTGTTGCGTATCTCGCATGGCAAACTGCATTTTTGCATGACAGGTAAGAGGGTCTTTTTGTGATTATGCGTCACAGATTCGTGCGTCATGTCAGACATGCATGACAAATGCCAGAATCTTCCAGACCCAGATCGATATTTGCATTTGATCCACCAGTGGTGGCGGGTGAACTTCGCGTGGCACGAGAAGGCGTTCAAGCAGGTGTCTATCCAAGAAAAAAACGTTGTTAGTGCAAATTTGTGATGCGCAACATGCAAGATGATTGCGTCTGTCATGCTTGGCATGCGTCGCAGTGTCCATGAAAGGGCGTTTTCGCGTACTATCTGCGCATCACAGGTTTTTGCTGTCATGCGAGAGATATTTGTCATGCTGATCCTCCAAAAAAGGTGCACCTACAATGTTTTTTTCTTGCATAGTGTCGAAGCGGTTTCTAGTGTGGGAGAAGAAGTTTCTGGCGGAAAAAATCCGGCAGCAGGAATATGCCGCGAGGAAAGCGGATCAGCAGCGCGGGGGGTCCAAGGGGAGGGGAAACAAAACGGACCAAATCGCGGAAATGATGGCAAAAGCGGAAGCCAAGGCAAGAGCCAGCATGAGCATGGACGAGAAGACGGCGGTATAAGTAATGAAGTTTTTGAGCTTTTGTAACTTGCACCTGCTAAGCGTAAGCCTACCAGCATACTGTAAGAGTACTTAAACTTACATTTTTGTGGTCCCAGGCACACTGCCCTGACAGAATCAATCCAAATTCAAACTCACCCAGGCTCTCCTGATGGCACCCAAGGAACGTGATATCGAATGCAAATATGTCTGGGTCTGGAAGGTTGGAACTTGTGATGCTATCTTTGGACTCTACTAAAAAAATCTGTATTGCATGACCAACAAGACGAGGAGTCTAGTTTGTGCTACGCGGGGAGGGCGTTTGTCATGCGCAGTAGGCATCAGGAAGGGTTCTAAAAGTCTGTGATGGTAAGGCATGCATCACACACAATCCTGGGCCATGCAAAACATGCATGACAAGTCTCAGAATCTTCCAGGCCCAGACATTTTTGCGTTTGATACGTGAGGACTTCGTGCGAAAGGATCTGTACACGAGAAGATTCCTTGCAGTGCATGGCGAAGTATCCTGCGTAAAAACTACGCCCTCACCGCATAGTCAAGATGGGAAACCAGCTAGACAAATAAACAAGTTTTGGTTGTTCCGCATGACATGTTTGGCATTGTAGTGTAATGATCTTGTTTCTGTTTGCAGCTAGTTCAGCACCGTCTAAAAAGGTCTAAACTTATTATGCAGATCGGAGCGTCACAACTTCCCAAACACGAGGGCTAGAAAATGCATTTCATCATGGGGATCCGCATGAGAAACGTTCTCTTCATGCCGCTTTGCATCACAGCTATGGGGAGGTGTGGTCCCCGTTTTTACATAGGATACGAAGGGAGAGTTATGATTAACGAGTATCTGAAGAAACGACGGGACTATTACGCCAGCAAGCAAGCGATGGTATAATTTTTCTTGCTATTATGAATTGCAAGAGTATCGTACTCGTATAAATGCATTACAAATTTCCTCAGCATGAGGAATGAAATTTGTAATGTGGATTTACCTTAAGAAAAGGACTTGTAATGCAAGACTTGCATTTATGCGAGTGCGATACTTTTGCACAGGATAGCTATTCGTTTACGGTTTTTTTCGAGATGAACCAATATGATGCCGTGGCAGTTGTACTATCCCCGCGTCGCGCAGCTGCAACACTAGGAAGGGCTTGATTTTCGACGAGGTTGCTATTGGTTTTATCTTTGTGCGCATTTATTTTCATACACATCTTTCTACTATCATGACCATGACCATGACATTGAAA